ATTCTTTAACTGGAGCTCATACATTCTGTTTCTCCTCTGGTAGAAAACATATTCTGGGTCAACTCCTGTGTTCGCGTCATCTGCATAAAGTTGTTTATATCCCACTTCAGGGTTTGTATAAAACTCTTTCCATCTCATATTTGCATACCATGGTGGCAAACCTAACGCAGCGTCATTTGACATGGCAGTTTGCATTTGTACATCTGTTGGCACTTGACCATAGTTTGCCATTGCAGTTTGTATTCTAACTTCATTTGGAATATTCTCTGGGTTTGGTTGTCCAGGTTGCTGTGCATTCGCTAAGTTCTGTGCGTCCATTTAATATTAGATAAAAATATCTCTTACGAGTACATATACTGAACATTTGCAGGCATTGGTTCATCTTCATATTCTCTGTACTTTTCTGCCACGTCAAATAAATAAATGACACAATGGAAAAAACCTAAAACAAGTAGTCCTATTTCAAACCACATTTACTTACTAATAAAATTTCTTTGTTATGACACTTTCTCCAGTTTATAGGACCTCTCTCATATTCTATCTTGTCATATATAGGGTGTCCAAAGGTGTGTTTAGCACAAACCTGAATACTGCGAATAGAAATAAACAAGTTACATATATATAAAGTTTATTTAAATATAATCACCATTGGATTCAATCACGCGTTCGCAGCGATCGATCCAGGCTTGAAAGACACGCTTTAAATCATCATGAGAAAATTGCTCAAATTGCTCTCTTACAAAATTTTCAAGATCATCTGGACTCGCGAATTCGCGTCCTTCAGCTCTCTTTTTTAGCGTGCCGAATAAATAAAAGTCAGAGGGTGCAATATCAGGTGAATAAATTGGGTTTGGAACAACTTTGACATTGTTTTCCAACAAGTAATTCATTACCTTATGACTTTTGTGAACTCTTGAATTATCAAAATGAATTGCAAACTTTTGTTTTGTTGTTTGGATTTCTCAAACTCATCAGAATTGATAATTTGAGTAAGAACATTGTCAATTAGATACTGAGCATTCATCGTATTAGGTTTTTGAAGAATATCAATTGCGATGATGCCATTCACGCCCCAAAAAACCGACAACATCATCATTGGTGTGTCAATTTTTTTCTTCGGGAATGTTTGCGGATTTTCATCCTTCGGGATCCACATGATTTTGGCTTCTGTTGCATATTGAAACCAAGACTCGTCCCCTGTTACTAAAAAGCGAAACTTCTTGGATTGATACGCACCCAATATAGAGAGGAGCTCTTTCGAAGATTGGACTCTAGATTTTTTTTGAACTGAATTAAGGTTGTGCGGAACCCAACGTGTATACGCTAGTTTGTAGTTCAAATAATTGCGCAGATAATAACTGACTGTTGTACGTGGTATCTTTGTCATCTCCTCTATCCTTCTGAGTGATGCTCTTGGGTCTTCATCTAGCGCTTGAAGAATTGCTTTGATTTTTCTTTGATCCGGCGATTTTTTGTCAATTTTTATGATGGGCGCCTTTTTGTTCATGAAGTGATACATCCTAACATGATACGTTACAGTGGAATAGCTAGGAGCATCCATACCGAAGCATTTTACCAATGTCTCGTAGATTTTTTACAGTCTTTGCATTTTTTTGCAAGAGCGAGGATGTTTTCTTTATGATTCATTAAAAAAATGAAAAAAATCCCGCCAAAATTTCCCGCGAAACCGCCTCTTGTCTCAAAATTCATTTTATATCCGGCATGGCGCCAAAATACAACATACTCATCATATACATATATTCATATTTTTTATTATATATTTATAATCAGCATATATCTCCTTTAATAGTCTCATATAGAGCGCTGTGCTAAACGCACCTTTGGACACCCTATATAAACTCATAGTCATGTATGTCCTCTAACCATCTCATAACGGTTTCCAAACCACTTTTATCGGATGTAAAGTAAAAGCATGGATGGTTATGTAAAACGTCTAAAGTTTCTAAAGAGTCTCTCAAAGTCCAGTCTACTTGGTATTGAAAATCCCATGTGTTATAGAACGGCGGGTCCACTATAAAGAAAACATTTTCCTTGTCTTTATATTTTTCATACAAATCTGTCCAATGACATCTCACAAACTCTATACCCTCAATATATTTTTCTATGTCCTCTTTGAAAACATTTGTATAGTTAAGATATAAAACTTTTGACATAAGTGTTTCAATGTCATGAACTCTTATAGCACCACTATATAATAGTCTAGCAGATATACTATCCCAGTCTATATATTCTGCTTTTTTCAAAACCTCTCTCACAATATTTTTCTTATCTAATGGTATACGTTCCATCTTACCTATAGGTATCTTTTCTTTTAACTCTTTCAATATATTGTTTGTGTCTGGAATATGTTTGAGACGGTCCATATAGTTGTCGAAGTCATTGCATATAATCTTTGAGTCTGGGAATATTATATGGCACAAATGGGATATATAGAAACTTCCACCGAACAAATCTACAAATGTTAGACCATTCGGTAGTTTCTTAAGTTCTCTCAATATAATATCTTTACATCTACTCTTATTTCCAAAGAACGGTAACGGTGGTTTTGTAAAATTCATTTATATATAATAATAAAAATGTTTTTACCCGAAAAGTGACAGAAAAGTGACAAAACATGAAAACATATATAATTTGTGAAAAGCGACACATTATATAATGTTTTCGACCCAGAAGAAGGCTTCTTCCCAGAAGCAATGGAGGAAGAAGAAGAGTCCTCCGAATTCACACCAGAAGACTAACAATTTTCCGAATAAAAACTTCATTTATACTAAACATCTTCGGGGCTAGAGGGCACGAAGTGCCTGGAAGCCCCACTACCTTTTTTTTTTTTTTTTTTTTTTTTAAATTAAAATCAAAATTCGAAAATATCTATTTTTCAAAACACGCATCCAGAAGCGAAAAAATTCGAAAAAATCATGTTCTTATAAAACTCGCTGATTTTGCAATTTTTATGTGATTTGAAGTGATAGAATGTATTATCATCTTACGAAAACATATACTTTATTGTTATATTCACAAAATATTAATCAGAACACTAGGAAAAGTGGATTTTCGAAAAAAGACGATAACAATTATTTGCAAATCGCCTCTCAATTTTGAGAGACTTTCAATTTTTACAGTGGACCCTTAATAAAAATTCATAAATTAGATCCGAAATCTTTGCGAACATTGTTTACCGCAGGCATATCATACTATTTCTTTCTTATAATGTATTTTAAATATATTTTTTTATGTTTCCATTTTCAAAATTATTAATGTCTGATCAAGACGTTCACCCAAATAAATACGGTGAATTATACAGTAGCTACAAATACTACATAGATTCATGTAATGCGTTGTATCATCTAAAAACGGAAAACGAAGAAGGATTAAACACTATTTACAACATGATCAAAGCAAATTTGATTGATACACAGAAATGTCTTCCCAAAGATATAATCAAAGATATAGGGTGTCCAAAGGTGTGTTTAGCACAAACCTGAATACTGCGAATAGAAATAAACAAGTTACATATATATAAAGTTTATTTAAATATAATCACCATTGGATTCAATCACGCGTTCGCAGCGATCGATCCAGGCTTGAAAGACACGCTTTAAATCATCATGAGAAAATTGCTCAAATTGCTCTCTTACAAAATTTTCAAGATCATCTGGACTCGCGAATTCGCGTCCTTCAGCTCTCTTTTTTAGCATGCCGAATAAATAAAAGTCAGAGGGTGCAATATCAGGTGAATAAATTGGGTTTGGAACAACTTTGACATTGTTTTCCAACAAGTAATTCATTACCTTATGACTTTTGTGAACTCTTGAATTATCAAAATGAATTGCAAACTTTTGTTTTTGTTGTTTGGATTTCTCAAACTCATCAGAATTGATAATTTGAGTAAGAACATTGTCAATTAGATACTGAGCATTCATCGTATTAGGTTTTTGAAGAATATCAATTGCGATGATGCCATTCACGCCCCAAAAAACCGACAACATCATCATTGGTGTGTCAATTTTTTTCTTCGGGAATGTTTGCGGATTTTCATCCTTCGGGATCCACATGATTTTGGCTTCTGTTGCATATTGAAACCAAGACTCATCCCCTGTTACTAAAAAGCGAAACTTCTTGGATTGATACGCATCCAATATAGAGAGGAGCTCTTTCGAAGATTGGACTCTAGATTTTTTTGAACTGAATTAAGGTTGTGCGGAACCCAACGTGTATACGCTAGTTTGTAGTTCAAATAATTGTGCAGATAATAACTGACTGTTGTACGTGGTATCTTTGTCATCTCCTCTATCCTTCTGAGTGATGCTCTTGGGTCTTCATCTAGCGCTTGAAGAATTGCTTTGATTTTTCTTTGATCCGGCGATTTTTTGTCAATTTTTATGATGGGCGCCTTTTTGTTCATGAAGTGATACATCCTAACATGATACGTTACAGTGGAATAGCTAGGAGCATCCATACCGAAGCATTTTACCAATGTCTCGTAGATTTTTTTACAGTCTTTGCATTTTTTTGCAAGAGCGAGGATGTTTTCTTTATGATTCATTAAAAAAATGAAAAAAATCCCGCCAAAATTTCCCGCGAAACCGCCTCTTGTCTCAAAATTCATTTTATATCCCGGCATGGCGCCAAAATACAACATACTCATCATATACATATATTCATATTTTTTATTATATATTTATAATCAGCATATATCTCCTTTAATAGTCTCATATAGAGCGCTGTGCTAAACGCACCTTTGGACACCCTATATTTTAGATATCATTCCGTATAACAATCGCTATGCAAAGTCATATTTAACTCTTGCCAAACTTATATCTGATGAATACCATGTGGAAGAAGTCAATAATGTCGAAATTATATCAATCTCCCTGTTTTACAAAGAATACGGAATTAAATTAGACAAATCCGTTGATTTCGGAAAACATAAATTTGAAAATCTCGATATTCATACAAAAGATACAATATACAGAGCAATTATGTATAAATACCTCGAAAGATTCATCACATTCACGGAAATAGATGGATTTGATGAAAATCAAAAGTTTTCAAGCAGTTTATATCCAGAATATTACACGAAATATTCATTACTTGAATTATGTTGTTATCACGGAGCAGTTGATTGTTTCAAGTTATTAAGAACGAAGTTTAACTCAAAAATTACTAAAACATGTCTCAAATTTTCATTTTTAGGCGGAAATGCAGATATCATGAGTGAATGTTTGAAAAATCAAACACCAGATAAAGAATGCATGATAAATGCAATTATTTCACACAACATTGATTTCGTTTCATTCTTGATGAATGAATACAATATGGAGATTGATTTACTTAAATGCATAAAATATAATAATCTTGAATCATTCTTGGTTTATTTCGATCAAACAAATGAAACTAACAAATGCTTTATTTATTCTTCGATGTTTAACATATCTTCCCTTTGCGATTATTTCCTTTCGCAGGGTGCAAATGTTAATGAAAAAACTGAAAAAGGAAAAACAGCTCTTCATTTTGCAGCAGATAAAAATAGTAAAGAGTCAGCGGAGTTTCTTATTTCACACGGTGTAAATATCAATGAAAAAGATGAGGAAGGAAAAACTGCTCTGCACATTACAGCAAGTCATAATAGTAAAGAAACAGCTGAGCTTCTTATTTCGCACGGTGCAAATATCAATGAGAAGGATAAATTTGGACAAACTACTCTTCATTTGGCAGCATGGTATAATAGTAAAGAAACAGCTGAACTTCTTATTTCGCACGGTGCAAATCTGAATGAAAAAGATAAAGGAGGACAAACCGTTCTTCATTATGCTGCAGACCAAAATAACAAAGATATAGCTGAACTTCTTATTTCGCATGGTGCAAATATCAATGAAAGAGACAAAAAAGGAAAAGCTGCCCTTAATATTGCAGCATATAAAAATAGCAAAGAAACAGCAGAACTTCTTATTTTGCACGGCGCAAATATCAACGAAAAAGATGATGAAGGAAAAACTGCTCTTCATCTTGCAGTAGATCAAAATAACAAAGAAACAACTGAAATTCTTATTTCACATGGTGCAAATATCAATGAAAAAGATGAAGGAGGACAAACTACTCTTCATTTGGCAGCATTGTATGATAGTAAAGAAACAGCCGAACTTCTTATTTTGCATGGTGCAAATCTCAATGAAAAAGATAATGATGGACAAACTGCTCTTGATTGTTCAGCACGTCATAATAGTAACGAAATAGCTGAACTTCTTATTTCACATGGTGCAAATATCAATAAAAAAGATATAAACGGACAAACAGTTCTTCATCATGCAGCATGGTATAATAGTAAAGAAACAGCTGAACTTCTTATTTCAAATGGTGCAAATATCAATGAAAAAGATAATGTTGGACAAACTGCTCTTCATTATGCAGCATATAGTAAAGGCAAAGAAACAGCTGAACTTCTTATTTCTCATGGTATAAATATCAATGAAAAAGATAAAAAAGGAAAAACTGCTCTTCAAATCGCAACAGATAAAAATAACAAAGAAATGGCTGAACTTCTTATTTCACATGGTGCAGAAAAATAATACCTAATATGCTTCTCTTTCATTTACTCATATTTTCGAAGATGAATTTTAATGAAAGTAAAAATAATTTAGCTTTTTACACTGATCTTATCAAATGAATTTTTTTATGTCAATTTTATAATTAGGCACAGTGTTATAAAATATTATACATATACCTCAATAGTTTTTATTATTATTTTACCGGACTTTTTTATGGTATCTGAAATAAGTATATCATCATTTCCCCAAGAAAATAGATTATTTTGCAAAATTTATATAAAGTTTGGGTACTTTCTAAAGGAATATTGAATATACAAAATATTGATTCTATCTCAGTTCTTTGATTTCTCCAATTCCTAATGAAAGTCATTAAAAGTTGTAGGCATTTTAAGTTTTTCGTTCAATGTTTCAACTATTTGAAATGAGAGAGAGAGAAAGATATTTTGAAACACATTAAGGCTTTTTACCCCAATGACTTTATTTCTTATGAGAAAGTGCCCTAATAATGGTTTATTCTTATACATTTCACCAATTTTTTTGGTATTTTTATGGGGGATTGGATATGAAAAGTACTGATTATTAAATTCCTAGTTTATGAATTATAGATCTCAATTTATGTATTGAAAAGTATTAAAATTTTAATTTTGATTAAGCTTATTGAGCGTGCTTTCAGATGCATGAGAAAATGCAGGTTTTCCACTATTATCCTTTGCTTCTTTATCGGCTCCAGCAGAGATAAGATATTTAATGACATTAATTCGACCTCTTCTCAATGCCCAAATGAGTGGAGTATATCCATCATTATCCTTTACCTCTTTATTAGCTCCAATAGAGATAAGATATTGAACAATTCCAGTATAGTCATTCATTGATGCACAAATGAGTGGAGTCCATCCATTATTATTCTTTGCTTCTTTTTCAGCCCCAACTGAGATAAGATATTTAATAATATCAGGTTTATTGGCTCTTGATACATTATATTTACATTTTCTTGTTGTCCAAATGAGTGAAGTATATCCGTCATTATCCTTTGCCTCTTTATCAGCTCCAATAGAGATAAGATATTTAACAACTTCAAGTTTACCAAGAATTGAAGCCCACATGAGCGGAGTTTTTCCAGATATGTCCTTTGCTTCTTTATCAACTCCTTGAGAGATAAGATATTTAACAACTTCAAGACGATCATTTTGTAATGCTTTAAGAGAGAGGGTCAAAGTTGCTATTTGTCACTTTTCCACAAGAATATAATGGGGAAAAAGTTATCATATAGTTGATCTCATTCACTGAGGTGAGAGATGCATGTAGTGTAATGTGATAAACAGTGGGATTGCTGCTCTAAGTCCTAGGTTCGAGACACATTGGCTTCATTTTTCTCTTTTTTATTGACGTAAACTATTCAATTTTTGTGTTATCCATTCAAATTTCAGAATTTTTTTTGCAGATTTCACGCTACATTCGAAGTTACCTTTTGTAACAACCACCACCGCCTACGAAAGACGAAAGTGTGTCACGATTTCACCCGGAAATCCGACGGTTGTTTAAGAGTAAGCACTTTTGGCACCTACTCATATGTCCTTTGCTTCTTTATCAACTCCTTGAGAGATAAGATATTTAACAACTTCAAGACGATCATTTTGTAATGCTTTAATGAGTGGAGTATATCCAAATTTATCCTTTGCTTCTTTATCAGCTCCAAGAGAGATAAGACATTTAACAACTTCAAGTTGACCATTATATGACGCAAGAATGAGTGGAGTATATCCATCTTCATCCTTTGCATCTTTATCAGCTCCAACTGAGATAAGATATTTAATTACTTCAAGTTGACCTCGCCTTGATGCTATAATTAGTGGAGTATATCCATATTTATCCTTTGCTTCTTTATCAGCTCCAAGAGTGATAAGATTTTGGACAACTTCCAAGTGACCATTTTCTGATGCCCAAAAGAGTGTTGTCGTAAAGTTATTCTTTGTTTCTTTGTAATCTCTAAGAGATGCAAGATATTTAACAATTTCAAGATAATTACTAACTGTCGCAATAATTAGAGCAGTAGATCCGTCATTATCCTTTGCCTCTTTATCAGCTCCAATAGAGATAAGATATTTAACAACTTCAAGTTTACCAAGAATTGAAGCCCACATGAGCGGAGTTTTTCCAGATATGTCCTTTGCTTCTTTATCAACTCCTTGAGAGATAAGATATTTAACAACTTCAAGATGACCTCCACGTGAAGCCCAAATGAGTGGAGTATCTCCCCATTTAGACTTTGCTTTTTTATCAGCTCCAAGAGAGATAAGATATTTAACAACTTCAAGATGGCCATTTTTTGATGCCCAAATGAGTGGAGTATATCCAGACATATTCTTTGCTTCTTTATCAGCTCCAACTGAGATAAGATATTTAATTACTTCAAGTTGACCTTCAGATGATGCAATAATGAGTGGAGTATTTCCCCTTTCACACTTATCTTCTTTATCACAGCCACATTCAATGAGAGATTGAACAAGTCTCACATTTCCTTTATAGCATGCAACGTGTAGTACATTTATTTTATTACTTGCATATTTTTCAGTTGTCTTTTTCCAAAGTCCTTCTTCGCATGATTTCGAAATCATTTTATGATTTCCTTGAGATGAAAGTTCATCAAGGAAGCTGTAAATTCCTTCAAAATCATCGGAATTCTTAAGTTCTGAAATTTTTGATAGAATTCCACTGTCACTTTTTTGTGATTTTATGGCTTTTCTCTGTTGAATCAGAAATGTCATTTTGTATTTGTATTAAAACATCAATAATACCATCAAAAATTCTAAGTTTCATGTATTTCTTGACTGATTTCAGAATTGCAACGACTTCTTCGAGATTTTGTACAGAAACATTTGTAGCACGAGTACATTCGTATAATTTGTTTGCGTTGATTGTAGAGCGCGATTGCTTGAGAAGGGTAATGAAATCATTTGCTGACAATTGAGAGATTTTCAGGATTTTTTCGATATCTTGCGTTTCAAACGTATTAAAGAACTTATCGCCATCAATATAATCTTTGATGTGAGCCGCGATGCTTTCATAATTTAGCTCGAGACTCATTATTATTAAACTATGAAGATTTTAATAAAATTGTAATTTTTTACAAACTCTTTTAAAATATATAAATATGTATTAGAATAAACATAGAAATTTACTTCAAAATTTAGATTTGTGTATTGAAAATTTTGTTGTCCTGTTATTGGCTCTTAATAAAAATATGGCTGAAACTCATAGAGGAAAGAATGCTTTAGCTGAGCGAGAGCCAAAAATCGTAGAGAACAGAAAGAAATCCCTTTTTATCAAAGGTAGAAAGTTCCCAGCTGCTATGCAACAAGTTTGGGATGATCTTGCTCTCTTCAGGTTCGGCGAAATTGTTAAATTCACAAGAGAAAATGACATTGTTCCATTCGAAGATGCTTCTCAAATACAAGAACATTGCAGAAAGAACGATTGCTCATTATTCACTTTCGCTACAACAAATAAGAAGAGACCAAACGATATTATATTCGGCCGTCTTTTCAATTTCGCATTATTAGACATGTACGAGTTCGGAGTTACTAATATTATTCCACACAAAGACCTTCCAAGAAATGAATTTTTACATGGTCAACTTCCAGCCCTTATTTTCCAAGGTGACCAATGGAATAGCGAGCTTAGCTCATTGCGCAACTATTTTATGGACTATTTCGTTGGAGATCTTCAAGGTTCAGTAGATCTTGAACAAGTAGCTCATTGCATTGTATTCACATACGTTGAGGAAGACAAGACAATCCTCTTCCGCCACTATTTAGTTAATACAGAGAATGATACCCCACAATTGACATTAACTTCTCCTTGCTTCGACCTCGTTTGCCGTCGTGACATGAAGCCTGACGAGGAGGCTTACGAAAATGCTCTCATCAAGGCTCCAGAGGAAAAGAAGAAGAAGAATGTCAAGAAGGACGCTCTTGGCCGCGAACTCGGCAGAGTATTCGTCGGCAAGAACGATACAACTTCACTCACAATGAAGAAGTTCCCAGGTCTTCCAAAACGTTCAATGAGACAAGCTGTTCAAGATGCAGAACACGATTTAGAGTAAATTTAGAGTTTTATTTTATTATTATTGTCAAATGATTATCATTTATTACAAAACTATCTATTTTGAAACAAATTTAAAAAATTTAATTCACAATTGTATAGTTTTTAAAGCTTCTAAACATGGTATTAACAATGAATCCGTGAAATAATGAGTTTAGTAAGTCAAATGTTTAGATTCATTACTTAATTTTTGATATCCAAATTTTAATATTTTATATTTTTAAGCCATAATAGCATGAAAGGCATTCAACTCATCATTGAATACAGAACATCATTCAAAATCGCCATTTATCTATTGAGTTGTGATAAAAAGACGAATTTGTCTCTTTGAGAATCAAGAAAATTTTAGATGACAAAAGGAGGTCTCTCAGCTGAGGAAGCCGAAAAGGTCTTGCAACAGAAGCTTGAGGCCCTCAATGAACCAATGGATGATGAAAATTACTATTTCGTTCAAACATTCACAATGAATCTCGAAAAATCACCAGAATATACAGAACAGAAAAATCATTCTCATGATGAAGAAGCATTTCAGAAAGCTACACTAGAGGGCGTATTAAAGGCTCGCGAATTATTAGAAAAGAACGATATTAAATATATTCGTCCACCAGATAACTTTGTTGAAATGTTTAGAGATGAAAGAGAAATGGAAATCGTTCGTCAAAAGTTAATGGAAGACCAGAGAGCAATTCAGATCGCAGAAGCAAAGAGAAAACAGAAACAGATCGAACAGGCACCAAAAGTGGAGAATGTACAGAAGAAACCAGGTATCCTCATGAAGAAGAAGGTAAGTGCTGCTCAAAGAAAGAAAGATGCAAAGAAAGCTATGAGAGCCAAAAGCAAATAAAGTTTCATAAAGTATTTATTTATAAAATATTAATTATACAAAGTCATATTTACAATCAACGTCAATTTGACGTGATTATAATTTTTATCAAAATTTTAAATTAACGTTTTGAGCCTTTCCTCACGTTGTGAAACTAATAATATTAGTAATATTATACATACATAGGATTCATATTGGTTTAATAATTAAAATGAATTCAAATATCAACAAAACATTAAGAACTGACATCTAAGTATAGCGTTTGGTTCTGATAACTAAAGTAACACTTAGTTTAAAGATTACTTCAATTTTTGTCTCTTATATTGTTATAGAATCTATTCATCATGGAGCTGCCGTCATTGTGAAAGCACAATTTGATAGTCACAATGATGGCATGAAATTTTGATTCACAATCTACTAATAATTTAATAATTATTAAACTTATTAATATGGATGGTAATATATCCTATCCAAAACTGATCTGGAGTCAACCCCTTGTTGAAATTAGTTTCTCAGATAAGAAAAAGAATATATATTTTTACATAAAATTTTAAAATTTATACAAACAACTAATATAAGCTAATACAAATATGTGTACGAGATAAATTATTGCATGAGTGTATTTGTAATGTTTTTGAATTCGTTAATAAACAAATCTTCTTCAAGATCGACGAATTGGTCACGAAGACGGTCATGACAATATTGTGTACCGCATGCTTTTGATTCCCAGCAACCTTTGAGGTGATTTTGGTCGTTGATATTTAATCCTTCTGGCATTACTGGTTTTTTATTCATCAACATATGGTAATTTACTCTTGCAACACTTGCAGCTGTTTCATACCAGTCTCTGCAGTTGTATTCGTGTGGCATAATCTCAATTAAGTGAGTTTGCCTTTGTTTTCTTGATTCTTCCATCCAAATGACATGAGCAAGGCCAGAACCATGGAATCCTATCAATACCTGTGCAGGAGCAATTAGTTCAATCTGTTCTCGAATATCTAAATTTTGTAATTCGACAGTTCTTATGTCGCAGAAGGTGCAAATTGTTTTAGACAACTCTACAATCTTATCCAAGTTCTTTACATCTCTTTTCGCGCCACCTCTTTTGATAAATAAAACAATTGGTTTTGTAGAGTTTTCTATGTGGATATTGTTATATTTTATTACATCTTCTCTGAAGCCAGGAGCTGTGGAACTGTTTAAATTGTATTTGAACAAAATTGAATTAATTTCATTATTTCTGTAAGGATCTGGATTTGCTTCAGGTTTCTCACACCCAATAATTGCGTATTTGAAGAAGTATGGCTTGTACCTATTTTCCAGAACGATTGGCTCATATCTTGAGATCCAATTTGCCAAAGCTTGAAATCTCCAAAATCCGTCGGATCTGACGAAAAGTCTGCGGGTATCTCTTGTTGCAAATTGATGTCTGACATTGATAAATGAATAATATGGTATGAAAAAGTCATAAATCATGTGCCACAACATATAGAAGTTGTAGAACACTCCGTATATAAGAGATGTTTCTTCTATCACTTGCTTTCCATTTCTAGGTATTTCATCGAAGGTAATATTGGTTACAATTGGCTCTTTTGCAAATCTGTCCGTAACTTTATCGAATGGAGGAGCTCTAGAGCCAGGAACGAGTAGAGGATTTGGAAATTTGAAGTGTGCACGTGAATAAAAGAAAAATGTTCTGTCAACATGATAAATATTTCTTGCTTCGCACCATCTTGTTCCAAAATACTTGCCATGACATCTTATCTGAGAATTATTAGAGATTTCTGTTTCGGAAAAATCAGTAATTGAAAGGTTTACAGGAAAATGTTTTGAATCACAAATTAACTCTGCTTCGTATTTATCAACAACCGGCAAAAAGAACCTTAATTGAACGACACCATTGTAATTTGATATTACATCGTAACTATTCGGTGGATAAATTATATTTTCTGATTCCCATTTGGTTTTTAGAGAACAAGAATTCAAAACAGTTGAACTATCAATATCATCTGAAAATGTAATAGTTACTGTATCATTTTTTGATGTAACACTTCGAATTAATTTGGAAACTCCGGTAGAATGCGTAATTTTCTGAATAAACTCTTGTTTTTGGACAGTCGTACTTCCAAAGTATAAGATTGAGCATGTAAATATAATAATAAATTCGAAAACCGGTAGAAATGAATATAATAATTTCATATATTTTTGTCACTTTTTTGTAATAAACCCATTTGAGCATAATTTTTATACTTTTACGGGTAAATATAATGTGTACAATCATAACAATTGAATATTTGATTTTTAGTTTTGAATGTATAATTCTGTTTTTTTTTATGAATTTCATAAATAACGATAAACGTGTAAATGGATCCCAATCAAAGTCTCGCTCAGGCTCTTATTGATGGGCAACCTGTCCAAGACTTCAGCCAAGAAGAAGTCGAAACAATTCGCTCCGATTTAGAGAAAGAGAAGGAAAAAACGATAAAAGAAGGTAATACAGAAAAATTGAAATTAATACAGAAAATTTTAGCAAATATCGATGATATTTCAACTGCCACACAACAAAAGAAAAAGAATCACCAACTACCTCCGATTAAACAACCAACAAATGAAGAAAAACAAGAAGAATTAAGGAAAAAAGTCGAGCAAGCTGCCAATGAGAACGACGTTTCAATCATACAAGGGGACGAAATCTCTGATGCAATAAATATTTCAAAGCAAATCATCAAAGAAAAATCCGAAAAGCGAGAATTACTTGAAGCTCAAAAATACCAGGATCTATACGATAGTCTACTTTTATACAGGAACAAAACACGTAAGGTGAACAAAGAATCTGCAAAATTGAATGACCTCGATTCTCAAATTAATAATTTAGAAGAAACACTTCGAGAAGCTAAGGATAAACGTGACAAAGCGATTTCAGAATTCGATAACCAAACAAACACTAAACTTTCCGAAATGCAACAACAAAATGAAGACAAATATAATAATTACGATCAAGAAACTCAAGAAAAAGTACCACAATCTGTTACAAAACCAAGTCCGATGCTTCTTGACTTGAGAGCACGTGCTAACCACTTAATAAATTCGCATAGATTCGCCGAAGCCCATAATTACGATGTAGAAGCCCAAAAATTAGAAGAGAAAGAGTTGGAATCAGCTAAAAAGTCCTTCCTCCACGCAAGATCTAAGCAAAAATCAAAAATAATGTTAGAAGATAACAATAAAATCAATATTTACCTTCAAAAGCGTCAAAATGAGCGTGAGGAAATGCTGAGGAACCATAATCACCAGATATATGTCATTGAAAAAACAATCGGAAATTTAGATTCACAAAAAACGGATAAACCAAAGCCAAAGATTGCTCCCATTCAAACCACGAAGTCTCGTCAACTAATAACTCCCCATTTGTTGATGCCTCTTGGAAGAAGACCTCAATCTGCTTATTCTCTTTCCCGCCCAAGGAGTCAGAACTCCTTTGGAGCTACACAGTAAAGTATTGTTTGTAATGTGAGTTTGAAATTACTATATCTATTTTTTTTAATAATTTTTTTTTATGATTTCATATTTTATCAAAAACATTGAACATTGATGAGTCATCTTTCAAATATGGATTTTATTTAGTATATTTAGATAAAATGATCAACTAAATTTTGATATGTCTTCTTGATAAAATCGATTTTAAAGTTTTACAATCTTAATGCAAGCTCACAGAGTTCTTATAGAAGCTGTTACGCATAGCTTACATTCATTCATTTTGATTTCTTTCGGAGAAATTGAAGAGTTCTAAAGAAGCGATTCTATTCCTAACATGAATGGTTTAGCTTATACGTACATTGTGGCAAATACTTGAGTCTAGTCATGCATATATCTATAAATATTGTCCTAGAAAATATAAACAACTCTGGGCATAAAATCTACATCAGATACCAATTCTAAAAATCATAAAAAGAAAGCTAAAATCCAATTGATTTTTTGATTGGAATCACTTCTAAAATCTAAAATCTTTCAAAAAAGTGACAAAATTAATGACCGACAATAAAACAAGTACTTTTTCTGCTGGTACTTGGGGAAGAAGCAATACCACAACTGGTAACAAAACTTTTTCAACAACAACCTCATGGACCAAAAATACCACAACTCAGCCAGAACAGCCACAAGGATACGGAGGCAACGACCAAGTTGCTCAATGGACAACGCAAAAAGGTACATCAGGCGGTTACAAGAGAGCCGCTGCCGGTGAAGGTGATTCAAAAACAAAGACAACAGGTTTTGGTTCCGGATCATCTTTCACTTCAGGCTCATCATTTAAAGGCGAACCAGGTACAGCATGGGGTGCTTTGAAACGTGAAATCGACAAGAAGAACCAAGGCCGTGGAGGCGCAGGAGCTTCTTCTGGATTTGGTGCATCAAGAAGCGCTTTTGGCTCAGGAACATCTTCTTTTGGAGCTAGCAGAACAGGGTTCGGTTCATCAACTAGTTCATCGTTCGGTGCAAACAAAAGTTTTGGAACAACTTCTTCTTTTGGAGCAAATAGAAGCACAACAACCACAGGTACAACATCTACATTTAAATCATTTGGAACAGGTTCCACTACTAGTTCTTTTGGTAAGTTTGGAGCTGCAAAAACTGTTCAAATTGTTGGAGAATACAGAACATCTCGTGGTCAACCATTTTTACAATACGATATTAATCTCGATGGACCAAACAACGAACCAGTTACATATTCTCTAAAACATATTTGTGCAATTCCAAGATACAATAAATATCCTGTTGAAATGCTTCGTTGGTTCGATTACGTTATAGGTGGTGGCATTACCTACGTAAATCCAAATCCTAAGGATACAAAAATAGGCTTTGGAAGTACTTCTACAACCAATAAATTCGGAACAGGCTTGGGTGCAGGAATTACTCAAAAAGAGTTCATCGATATGACTCCTTGGAAACTCGACCTCCAATACATTAAAATGGGAACGGCGCCAGAAGATATTGAACATCCATACGGAACTCTTCCTTCAACAGACATTCCACAGGAACAGCCTCCTATCAAATACGAAGAAGAAGAGGAAGTGAAGGTTGTTGCTCGCGGATTTTACAGAAGTAACAAATTATTCGATAAAATGCGCGATTACGTTGGAAGATCTCATACTCCAGGCCTTGTACAGCTTGTTTCAAAGCAATACGTATCTGCAAACTAATGATTTTATCTTGTTTTAAATATAGAATGTTATAATAAAAATTTGTTATTTGAAAAATCAATGTAATCAGTTTTGGCTTTGCATTGGAAATTCTAAAAATGTCTTCGGAGACATTATATTTAAGGGTGCCAAAAATAAGATATTAATAAATTTTAGTATGTTGATTGATTTTGTCTCGTGTATGATTTAGAGATGACATGTATAATTTATAAAAATTTCCATTTATTCAAGGACATTAGAGTATATCTTTATTAAAAAATCAGATTTAGACTGTGACAGAGGTTTAGATTAAGCAAAGTTAATTTTTTTAATTTTTTTTAAAGTTTTGGGCCTTAGTAAAACACCATCTCGACCCCTATTTTGGAACGACGATAGATCTTATTTGGCCTTACAGTGGACCCTTAAGATCCATATCGATTGGTTATTTCATCGTGTGATGGATAGTTTTCGATAAGTCCTGATGATTCCTCGGGAAGAAGTGACGTGTTAGAGTTTTGAACGTCAGTTACACGATTGTATTCTGTAGAGCTTTCGAAATATATAGGTGGATCGTCAGGTATTGTTCTGAGAATACAATTTTCACTATATGCATCTTTGAATGCTTCTGTTTCCATAAATTCTGGTAGAATTTTATCTTTATAACTATCCCAAAGTAGAAGAATATTTGTTTGTAAATCTTTGAGATACTTATGAATAGGATCATATAGATCTTTGATTAATTTATTGAGATAATTTCGGCATAAACATGCAAATGGTTGTAAGAAAAATATGTTATTTAATGCGAACTACGATTATTTTCGATAAATCAATTCTTTCGTGTTAACAATTAATTTATCTAGTTTCTAGCTAGAATCAATAATTAGCTAATCTGAAAAAATTTGACAAAAGTTTTTTATGGGTCAAACTGAGAGCCAAGACCAAAATAGAATGGATGGCCCAACATCATCAAGTCCAAATCTTACAGAAAATCAGTCAATTGCTCTTCAAAATTCAGATGAATTCGTTCACAAAATTATTAATGATAATCAGTTTTGGCAAAATAGAGGAAAAGACATAATTTGCGATTTCCAATCCAAAATGATAATTGATCCCCCTATTAGGAAGTTGATTGAACAGCTACGTGCGGATATTAACTCAAAAGATTTAGATAAAATAGCACGTGAAAATGAAAATTCAGCGAGAAAATATAGTTCCATAATTGAAAACATCAAAACATATAAACCATACTCGATCCTTTTTGAAATTGATGCCCAACTCGAACAATTACGAGCAGAAAACGATAAAGAATATCAAGAAGTAGAGAAACTTAAAGATGAAAACAAAAGATTGCATGACGAATATGAAAAACTTGTTAAACAATGTACTTCAGATTTCGATATATTCATTTAGAAACAAACATGTGTTATCTTCAATGTTTTAATCTGTTTACTGTTACTTCTCTATATTTGCTATTATTTTGATATTTTATAATTTTCTATTCTTTTTTCATTGTTGTTATGTTTTTTATTCTACTTTATAAATAAATATTTCGTTATTTTATTCTTAATCGTTCATAAATTTAAGATATTCTTATATTGCGTTTGGGGGCTTAATATCAATTAAGAATTCGGTTATAGGGATGACTGTGGATCCGACCAAATATACGAGGAGTGTTTAAACATAGAATGTTCATTGAATTTCTCAATTTTAGATTTCTAAAATTATAAAATTGTCACTTTTTCCAATTAAAAAATGTCAACTAATGATATAGATCAACTTGCGGGAAAATTTATGGATTTCATTGACAAATGTCCTTCTCCATATCATGTATGCCAATATATGAAAGAAAAACTTTTAGAAGCTGGATTTATTGAAATTGATGAACGAAAAATTTGGCCGGAAGGAATCAAAAAAGGATTCGTAATTAGAGATTTTAGATCTATTATTGCTTTTAATGTTAATAGTTTAGAAAAAGCAGTTCTTGCTTCTGCTCACAATGATTTTCACTCTATCAAAATAATTCAGCGTCACGAGAGCCAACAAGTTAGTGAATACGTTTCTCCAGTTCAAAATTACGGAAATCCACTTTGGGATTCTTATGCTGACAGATCTTTGAGAATTGGCGGAATTGTTTCATATATCAACGACAATAAAAAACTAGACTTCAAACTTATCGATTCTGAAAAGGCAGTTGCTTCTTTTCCAAATCTTGCAATTCATCTTCGCGGAAAAGGCTACGGATACAGATTTTCACCAGGTGATAACTACGTTTCATTTGGTCATGCATCAATCAATGACGTAATTGCTAATGTTGCAAAATTAGACTCAAATAAAATTAAAGATCACGATTTATTCCTTGTTGACAGCCAACCATCACGAAGAATTGCAGACCTGATTACGGGTGGAAGAATTGATAACTTTGCTTCTTGTTTTGCCGTTTTAGAATCATTTTTAAATTCATCAACAGAAAATCCAAATTCTGCGACTCAAATCATGTCAATATTTGATCGTTCACTCATTGATGGAGATACTGCTGCTGGAACTAACAGTACTTTCCTTGAAGATGTTTTAGATTATATTTTCGATGAAAAACTTGACGAAGTTCGCGACAGTATATTCCATGTATCATGCGATCATGCGGAAGCTAATCATCCATCATTCCCAGACTTCTACAACCCAGACCAAAAGATTTTAATGTCAAAAGGTCTCGCAATTAAGAAATCCCTTCGAGCTGACTTAGCCACAGACAATATTACGCAATTTATAATAACACAGGTAGCAAAAGATGCAAATGCTCCCACTCAAATTTATATGTGCAGAAATATGCAGATAATGTCTCCTTCTGCTGGAACAAATATTACAGCAAACAGTGGACTGAGGACAGCTGATGTCGGAATCCCTATTCTTTCAATAGGTTCTGCTAGACAAACTGCATCTGCAACAGATCTTTATAATTACACTCAAATTCTTACAAAACTTTTCTCAAATTACGGAGAGTATTATAGATTATTACCTTAAAACTATAATTTTTTGGCAAACCCAAATTTTAGCTAAAAGTGACAGGGAAAAAAACGTTTAGTATTAAAAAAAAGACCGATGAGAGCTTCGTTCGAAATATAGAGGGAACTGAGAATGCGCAACCATTCTCAGGGAATATTGGATGCTATTCCCGTTCCCTCTGTATGGAAAATTGAGGTTTTCAAAGGGAGTTAAAATAATATCAAATTTATACTAATTTACTTCAAAATACAAAAGTATTTGACAGCTAAAATTAGTTACTTTAGCAAGCCTATCAATACCCTTTTACGATTATTGTTACTTTTTCGAAAAAAAAGTAAAAACAAATTTATACTAATTTACTTCAAAATACAAAAGTATTTGACAGCTAAAATTAGTTACTTTAGCAAGCCTATCAATACCCTTTTACGATTATTGCTACTTTTTCGAAATAAAATAAATTTATTATCAAAAACCTTTTTTTTCTTAGTAAAAATAAACGAAATTTTTTACCTTATGAACTTTTGATGGAAATATGCAAATTTAAAATAATAAAGAAAGCCGCGAGCGAAGCGATCGGCTTAGTTCGAAGATTTTGATTCAAATCTTTGCTGATCTGTAATTCGCGGAAGCCGCGAGCGAATCGAGCGGCTTAGGTCTAAGATTTTGATTCAAATCTTTGCTTATATTCCTTAAATTCTTTATGAAACTCGCAACAGTTCCATAAAAAATTTTAAATTCTAAACTGTCGAAATTACCGATCGGTAATCACACCCTTCACGGGCGTGTCACTTTTTACAAGTGTGTCACTTTTAGCTAAAATTACCCCTACTCGTATCCATATACAGTCACTATCATTGTGCATAAGGTTTGTCTTTCAATCTTTAAAATTTGTTATTCACAAAATTAAAAATTTGATTTTGTCACTTTTTTGGCATTCACATGAGTTTTTCCCCAGTATTTTTTCGACAAGTTAAGATTATAAACAGTGATATGGTCTCTTTGAACTGTATTACTATTTTCACAGTTAATGACAAAGAAAATTCGCTCTTAACTTATGACATGGGAATCATATCCAACATAATTCAAGCGCGATCAGAGTTTTCAGATATGGAACTCTTCTCCATTTTCTACTCATTTGCAGATTTAATGAACACAGAAGTTCCAAAAACCAATGTCATTTTAGCTGTCAGAAAATTATTTGCTTTAGGATACTTTATTACACAAATACCACATACAGAAAGGCAAAGTTACTACAGAGAAATGAGAGATCTTGTTGATATCGTCATCAATGAAAGAATGCAATTTCCTGCATTACAAACAGTTTTCTCTTGCTCTGTTGGTTTCTGCTTGACACAGATTATCCCTCACATTAGGATTTGTGATTCATCAAGCCCAGAAACTCGTGATATTTTCGATCTTTCAATTATGGCAATGAAATATTATAAGATTTTAATGACAATCAATGACGGATCACTTCCGATTTTCCAAACATATATCTTGTATCTACTCCTGACATTTACAGATCCTTCCCAATTCGATAAAGAACATATTGAGTTACTTGGCGACATAATCAACGTCGCATCAAAAGCAATTGTCATACCGGAGAATATCAACTTCAACTACGTCGCATTAATCGACAAGCTGATTTGGATGCTGAAAACTGAAATCGAATTATTAATGCCAGAAACAAAAGTTTTGATTTTAGTTTTCTTGACAAAAATATGCGCGAGATTTTCAGTAGGAATCGATTTTATGATCGATAATCAGAATATTGAAAATGTCGCTTTGTTTATTATTGGATATCTCAAAACTCTTCAGTTTGGCGGAAAGACTACACCCGAGAGAAAGGATCCTGTAGCAACAGGATCGAGTGTTCCGTCAAGATCAATCATACTTTCTACTTTTGATCAAGAAATTTCAATTGATGATCAAGAATTGAACAAGAAATATCCGAAATATACAAATCCACCACGTTACCCTGACTCATTAATGCGATATCCAACAGTAAATGTACTACTTACCGCTCTTACCCAATTTTCAAAATTTAATATCGAATACATTTCATCATTTATACAGAAAATGCTTGATTTGACATCAGAGAACAGAACTTACGAGATATTAATGTTCCTTGCTGCATTTGTTCGTTCAATAATTTTAGCAAATATTCAAGGTTACAAATTACAGCTAGAAAAGGTCAAAATCATCGAGAAACTCTACAATGAAACATCCTCCATCTACATTGATGATGAAATTATATTGTTTGTCGTTGAAATTGACATATTTATGATGAAATCTCTTCCGAAACACCATAATTGCTTCTCAATTGCACTTTCCTTACTTGAGAAATGTCTAACAAGACTCCAGAACTCACAATTCCTCATTGATTGCCTTGCTTTCATCGCTGTTACATGTCCTTCCAAATTAAAGACAGTTTTGCAAGACAACAAGTACGATTTACGTATTGCAAATCTCATGTTCTTCCTACAGAACAAACATGTCGAACAAATCAATGCAAATGCTTCTCAAGAAATACTAGAAAATATCAAAAAGTGTCGTTTGTCACTTTTTACAATTAATGAAGTTTTTCTTAATGATAATGTTTTATGTTCATTCTTCTTTGAGTCAGAGCCATTTGTTGAATCCATTATACAGCATTTCTATGAAGAGAAAACTTCCAAATTCGCATTGAAACTGATAAAGAAAGGTTTGTCAAATTTGGAGAGAAATTCAAAAATTATTACAACAATAAGTTCTTTCTTCTGTCAAACAATTAAAAACGCGATAGAAGACACGAAGTACAGGGAATACGCGAGATCAATCATTGATGCAACTAATGATGCAACAGCTGCAGCTGTTTTGACTCAAAAATTTGTTCAGTTGTTCATTAATTTCGTAATAAATACTAAAGAAGAAAAAGATCTTTTCGCAATTTTGAAACTAGCTCAAAACTGTGCGAAATTACACGGAAAGTTCAAAGAATTCTTCACATCATATGAACTGATACAAATGATACAACCTGCAGTAGAAGAAATAGCAAACAAAGGTGGAAAATTTAAACTAATCGAAAAAATTTGGTTCATCATTTTCGATGCAGAAATTTTGCCACCTTTCCTCAAAAATCAACAAATAGAAGATAAAAGTGACAACATTACAAAAAGTGACACTACTTCAAAAAGTGACAATTCGCCTGTAAAAAGTGACATTGTTCTAAAAAGTGACAACCAAGAATATGTTATTCATAATGCAGAGCCATTGTGTTTGATTTTTGATTTGTTGAGGAAAAGTGATAAAGAAGAATGTGTTGAATTCCTTAAGTTCATGAGAAAAACATGCGAAGAATCAACAAGTAGTGGTTTACAAACGAATAACTCATCATTTACAACTGTTTTGGTCAACTTCTTGTGCGAATACAGAAATTCAGAGGAAATCGATGAATTGTTTACAGAAGCATCGAATCTTTTCACTTTCTTGGCACAATATTCCATCAAATCTGTTGATTTAATGATGATCTTCCAAAATATGACTGCACTTCCTAACGGCAAAAAACCGATTTTGACAAACGACTTTTTGAATTCATTGTTGATTATTTTCCAGTCACCATTTGAATCACCATCATCTTTCTTCCACATACAAGACAAAGGATCATGTATTACCATTCCGAATATAACAATTTCCCAACCGATAACATCATTTTTGTTTATGATTGACATCGCACTTTTGGGATATACAACAAAAGGGAAATTGTTGTTTATGGAATGCCAATCATCGGAAAGCATCTTTTCTGTTAATTTCCATAACAATTTATTGAAATGTGCTTATAGAGATAATACAAAAGCAGATTTCTTTGATTTCGATATTGGAATAATTCCAAACATGTGGTCAAATTTAATTATTTGCTACAACCAAAGCATTTTCAGTGTGTTCATGAATGGAAAAATGATTGGACAACATGAACTGAAGATCAAACCATTCACAGAGAAATTCAATTCTATTCCTCTTTGTATTAATATCCCTGCAAATATCGGTTTATGTCTTTTGAGTCAAAATCTAAATTATGATCAAGATTTTGTCAGAAAATTAGGACATTTACCACGCCAAAACAACACTTCATTCGATCCTTGCGAGAAAGGAGATTTCCCAAGCGAGTTCGAGATGTTGTTCAACAAAGAATTCTCTGAGAGTTTGTTGTTCATCATGAGCGCAAGTATCTGTAGTAATGAAAAAATTGGAAATCTGAGTCATTTAAAGGAGAAATCGTACATTTCTATGAGAAATGGCTCAACATTCGGATTTTATCCAACATCATCAATGGTTATATCAGCTATTGGTGGTTCCGGCGTCTTGATTCCTTTCTTCAGCCAATTGGATATGTCAAGTGCAAAATCCGAAGATTTTGACACTTCATTTTTGCCAGTTTTAATCAAACTTTTGATAGCTTTCTTGAGAGAAAATCCAGAAAATCAAAAGTCATTCTCCAATTTAAAGGGATTCAAGATGATTGGCAACTTGATTTTCCGTGCATCATCAAGACAATTGACATTACAAGTTGTTGAATTGTTTAAGATGTTGTTTTTCGAATTAACTGTTGAAGATTTGATTTTGTCAATGATTTTGAACATTTTCTTGGATGTAAGAATGTGGATTTACGCTGATATCAAAGTCCATGTCTACATTTACCAAGTTCTTAATGAAATCTATGACAAAGCATCACCAAATATCAGAGAACTCCTTTTGAAAGAAGCAAATCTTCCAAACAAAATCTTGTTCATGATCAAAACTTGTTATTGGTGCAAACCAACGCCAAAACTTTCTTTATTTGCAAGTCCTAAGATCTTAAAGAACTCCAAAGAAGGCGAAATACATCGTCCTAATGATTTGGAAGTCGTAAGAGTTGAACTATGGAAATTATTGCAGAAAATGTTCGCTGACAATTTCACAGAATTCAATTCTTTGGCATTGATTTATTTCGCAACAGATGTCGATGATATCATGTTGACTTACGAGACATTGAGATTCATGGTTTCAATGATACAATCCCAGGATCAAAGATTAGTTGATGCCATTGCAAGCCACATTAATTTCGAGGCTTTCTTCCCATTGCTTCTCTCCGAAAAAGAAGAATTACATATCCTTTGTATCCATATTTTTGTAAAGTTCTCAAAATTGGCGCCAAAATATTCAGAACTATTCCTTTCTCCTTATACATTTGGCGAATGGGTTGACAGTATTTTGGCAGTGATGAACACCAACCAAAACTCTGTCAATTTGGCTGACAACATTTTCGGATATGTTTTCAATTTATTTGACAAAGAACAAGAAGGAAAACTCAAATTGAAATTGATTGAAATTCCAAACAGCGATGAAAATGATTTGGAAATTGATGATGTTACGTTCTTGGCTATTGGTATCATGGCAATAACTCCTTTCGATGATGAATTGGCTTACGTTTATTTATCAAGACTCAACAAAGGTCTCAAACAGAAACAACAACAATTATTGAAATGTCCTTCTTTGGTCACTTCACTTTTGTTCTTTTTGATTGCACATTGTCCAAATGAATCCATTAAATTCGACAAATCATGTCAAGTAGTATTAAACATTTTGGCAGGAATCTATTGCAGTTCCGACAAAAATGTTTTAGATGAAATGATTGTTTTGTTGGATTTATTGACAGAAAGGACACAAAAAGAATACACTTACATATCAAGAGCTGTTTTAACAGAGACAATACGTTGCTCTTTGAATGGCGAATATTCATTTGCTTCTGAGAAATTGTTGATTGATGTTTTGAACACAACTTTTGTTTATTTGTTCTCTATTTCGAATTCATCTAAATACGCAATTGTTCCTTATCCAGAAGAAGTAGTAAATGAAGATGAAAAGCCATTGACATTCCAAGAATTAACACAATTAAAGATGTCGAATGACACAATAACATTGAATTATTCATTTGGGACTCGTTCTCTAAAAAAACAAATTTGGAAAGATGCTGATTTGGCTGATACTTTCTTGAGTTGTATAGAAGGAATGCCTGAAAACATCTCAATGAACCAAATTGTTTTTGCTAACGCCAAATCCCTATTCTTCCTTTACGGTTTCGTTCTTGCAAATGGTTTGATGCACGCGCCTCATTTCCCGATGTTTTCAAACCACATCAGATTTTTGACAAATAAAATCCCAACTGATGGCGGTTTGTCGTCTCCTCAGAAACAAGCCTTCATTTGCTATATAGCAGGTTTGAGCCATATATACATGAGGACAGATAGAAACCACGTCAGCCACATTTACATGACAGAAGATGCAGAAGCATTTGGAATCACGTTTAAAGCTGTTTTCAACATGAAACGGAGAATTCAATGGGGATCATCAATTGACTCATTTGAAGGATGTTTCAAGTCAAGAGGACATCATTTCGCACACCAAGCTTTAGAGGAATTCTCTAAATACGAAAGCGAAATGCCTTTGTTAATCAAAGAATACGAAAAGAATCTTTCAAAGACGATACAAACAGTTACAGGAAACTTTGAAAGTATTTCGACCAATTTCGAAAGATTGAATGAAATCGCGAACTCCCAAAATACTAAAAACAAGAAATTGCAAGTAACAATGCAGATGATGCAGTTCTCTTCAACAATGAGAAACGAAATGAATATTGGCGCTAAACTCTACAAACAAATGATCAGAACATTGAGTTCAGAAAACGGACCATGGAATTCTCCTGATTCAAATCAAACAACACATTACAAGTTGGATGATACTTTCCAGAGGAATTTCAGACGTGGAAAGATGATTGAAAACACATTGTATTCTGATCACAAACACGCATCTATTCTCAGAGATACAGGAAATATCACAAACGCTGTTCATTTGTTCACTGATCACTTAAAGAAACTGAGAATTGCAACATTTGCTGGTGAAGAAGACATTGTTTTTGGAGATAACGATGTTTTGGATGAGAAAATCATTCAGAAGGGTGATTCCGAGACAGACAAAGGAAATATCTTGATCAAAATTGATGCAAGATTAGTTGCAATGAAGAAAGTTTTGAGTGGAAGTGTTGTTTTGACAACAGATTACTTGATTTTCGAATCAGATGAGAAATATATTGAAATCGAATGTAAGACAATAGAAGCTGTCTATTTAAGACATTATTTGTTACTCGACACATCATTGGAAGTATATACAAGTGCCAGAAGAGCCATTTTCCTTGATTTCCCAGGCGGAAAGAGAAAACATTTCTTGGATGTTTTGAGAAAACAAAAATTTGCAAAGAAGATTTTCATTCAATATAACCAAAGTGATATCAATCCTTTAGTTAAGAAAGCAACAGAAATGTGGTGCGACGGACAACTGAGTAACTTCGACTATTTGATGAAGATAAATATTTACTCAGGAAGATCTTACAACGATTTGTCTCAATACCCTGTTTTCCCATGGATTTTGTCAGATTATTCGTCAGAAAAACTTGACTTGAATTCGCCAGCTTCATACAGAGATTTGTCGAAACCTATTGGTGTTTTGGACGAAGAAAGATTGGAAGTAATGATGGAAAGAAGCAAGTCAACAGATGACGAAGAAAACAACTACTTGTACGGCTCTTTTTATTCATCTGCAGCTGTCGTAATTGGTTTCTTAGTAAGAATGGAACCATTTACTTCACTTCACATTGAATTACAAAGTGGCAGATTTGACATTTCTGACAGATTATTCCATTCAATTCCACGAGCATGGGAGAGTGTCATTCACACGACAATGGACTTCAGAGAACTTATTCCCGAATTCTTTTATCTCCCAGATTTCCTTGTAAATTCGAATGGCTTCGATTTAGGAAAAGGATCTACAATAAACGGCGATGTTTTGTTGCCTCCTTGGGCAAGTAGTCCTTCTGACTTTATCAGGAAGAACAGAGAAGCTCTTGAAAGTCCATTTGCTACACAAGGTTTGCCATATTGGATTGATTTGATTTTCGGAATTAAATCAAGAGGAAAACTCGCGAAAGAATGCAATAACTACTTCGCGCCTTTCTTCTTCACAGAGTCAATAACGAAAGAAGTCATGAAAGACGCAGCAAAGTTCAAGTTCGCTCAAGAATTCGCTGCTTGTTTCGGAATGGCTCCTCAAAAAGTTTTTGACACTTTACATCCAGAAATTCGTCAAAAGTCACAGAAAATCGATCCACCGCAAACATTGCAATTATTGGATTCCACGATGACATCAGAGATTGTCTGCATTTCCGCCATTTCGAAGACAATTGTCGCTGTCACAAAAGACTGGGGAATCATCAAATTACTTCCAAACGAAACAGAAGAAGTTGGTGATATTGGAAGTGGTTTGGCAACAGGTCTAAAACAGGAAAAGCCAATAGTCAAGATAAGCGATTACAATATGATCATAGCTTCTGAATTTGACAGAGCTTTTTCACTTGTTAATCCATTGACTTTTGAAAGAAAAGTGACAACAAGAAAACATATTGGAAAAGTCACAGCTGTTTGTGTTTCTCAGAACTACATCGCGACAGGAGATTCCGAGTCAACTGTCCGCCTCCAGGAGATCAACAGCGAAAAGGCTACTTTCGTTCCTTTCCATAAAAGTGTCATCAAAGCACTCGGAATTTCGGAAGACGCCGATATCCTTGTCTGTTGTTCTGAAGACGGATTTTTGTCGGTTACGACGTTGACAACGGGAAGAACATCGCATATCATGAAATGCGATGACGGGGTACCTATTTACGCGGATATAACTGGCTCTGGTTGCATAGTTGTCATTTTCGAGAACAAAGAAAATTTGATAATAAGATCTTTCGATATTAACTTGAATTCGATCAACTCTTGCACTGTTGCAGGTAGATTTGCTTGCGCTGACATATTCGAGTGGTGCCATAAAGCAACTCACGCGATTATTTCAACAAAAGATGGTTCTCTTATGATCATCAACGTTGAGTCGGCTGAAGTCATCTGGGATATCCAAAAGAATGTTGTTAATGTAACTGCATGCGCTTACAGAGAAGAATGCCAAGATATAATTTTAGGAACGGCGGAAGGGAAAATTGTTTCTCTCCCACTCGTTAATTAGTTTAAACATAATGTATGGATTTAAGTAAAAAATATAAGTTTAGCAATGTTTTTTCTCAATGATATTTTTACAGTTTTTTTATCACTATAATATTCTCAATTAAAATATTTTCCGTATCCTTTGAAATTTTTGAATATTTTTCAAAGATTTACACGGTATAATTAATGATTAACGAATAACTTATTTTTGAATGCAATGCTATTTCGAGATTATTAATGTATCCAATGCATAGGTGTTATGGGTGCGGTTAAAAATACTGTAAGAGCTTATGAAATTCGTAAAGCCGCAAATACTATAAACTATTTTTTATATCGTGTCAATGACCAACTTAATATCTTCTAATAAAATCCATATCAAGCTTATATCTAAATTTTGGTGCCTGTAAAATCCCGTCAATAATTTAATCAAAATTTGAATGAGGTCTTAATTTTTCAGAACTGTCTGAACTAACGTTGTTGTTACTTATCCAATATCTATTAGAATAATTAAGTAATGAAAATTTCCTCCATTCAAATTTTTCAATTATAATATTTTACTTTTTATGAATTGTTATATTGTTCGTATTCTCCCAACCCATGACTTTTTCGTGACGTTTAAAGAGCCTTTATCAGCAGGAGAAGTCAAGGATGAAATGTTCTTACAAATTGGAGTTCCAACGAGATCAATGACTTTAATTTTTAATGGAACAATATTACAGGATCATGTAATGCTCGATTCTGTAGGTGCAAAGCATACATCGATATTATATATGGTTATTAAGCAATGTGAAACAGTATTTTTACGAGATCCTAGAAGAACGATTTTGGAAATTGTCTCGTTAATTTCATATCTTAGCAACGTTCCCAGTGGAGTATACAACAAAGCATTTAATGATATTAGAGATTGCGTTAATTCGCCATGCTTGGAACCTGTGAAAAAACTTTGCAAAGAATTAAATCCGTTTTTAAAGAGAGTATTAGAGTTTATTGATAGCAACGACGCTCCATTTGATGAATCTGCCATAGATATGCTTCTACGATATCAAGATTATGAATTTAATATTTTGGAAGGGCTTGAAGGCGAAATAAAATCAATTTGGAGTCAGACTTCGTCAACAATTGAGGTTGTCCTTGTTGATAACTCCTTAGATGAAATAATTGTGGAGAATACCGATGAATCAGAAGATTACGTTGAGCCCACAAATCTTGATTATACTTCCTCAATTAACTCCGATCCACTCCCATTTTGTATCAAATATGAAGACCCTGATTACTAATTATTTGAAAAGATAATTCCATTTTTCACCACTCTTATTTTTCATCCATTATATCTGCTTATTATGTTTGTATTTGAATTATAAAATTCATTTTATTGTGCCTTTTTTAAAATCATATTAGTTTTACTATATTTGCAAATGAAACTCATATTGTTTCTGATTTTAAAGCAGAGATATGAAATAAATCAGTCTTTTAACGATATTAATCAATTTGAGACGTTTGTAGATCTGATAGCTGCTAAGATGTTGAAAATGACATGGAATTTTCAAATTGTGTTATTTGGAAATGTTTGATAGTATAGTTACAAAAGATTTCTCATACGAAGGATAGATGTAAAAGATCCATTTTCTACCAAATTTTACTCATTCAGAATAAATGATATGATAAAAGTGACAAATTCAGCAAAAATTCATGAGGAAAGCAATTGGGTGGGAGAAAAACTTTTTTGGAAATAGAACATATCTCCAATTTGCTCTTAAAGTAAGTGATAGCAAATATGTCAAGCCAATTGTTGAGAAAAGTATTAAAGCCATTGTTGGTTTCCATGTTGCAACAGAAAATGGGATGATTTATCCAACAGATGATCCAACGCCAGTTTTTAAGTTACCTGATGATTTCAAATCGCTAAATGATGCTTGTAATTACATGTATTCACATCATACACGTCCCTTTAACAAGGCTCTTGCATCTATCGGTACTAATTCCGATACTGTTGTTTTAAATATTAGCCATGCAGCATCTGATGCTCGATATTTTTCTCATTTACTTGAGATTTTGAAAAGTAATGATGATTTTGCTGCACCTAGAATGATAGAATCTGTTGATTCAGCGTTTTCTAAAGAAATAGATTCATATAAATCAGAACTTCCTGTGTTTAATGCAGTCAATCCAAAATTATCACGTATTTATCAAAAAGAAACAAAGTATACGACAATGGATAATACATCTCATCTTACTACTGCTGTTTCTGATTGTCAAAACATCAAATGCTACAACAAAAAGACAAAATTACTTCATCATTTTTCCGAAAACCTTTGGTCATCTGTTATTTTATCAGCATCAGCATTCTCAGGAAATCTTTCAAAGATTGGGGTTGGTACATACATTGATTTGCGTCAATTTATTAAAAATCCCGGATTACAACACTGTAACATCATTTCTTCGGTTCTTGTTTCAGCAGATGTTACTAAAGATACAACTCTTGGTGAATTTATGATGCGTTTACGTTCTTGTTTTGACGAAAAAATGAAGAATAAAGAAGCATTTGGATATCTCAAAGCAATGCAAGTCAATGGAACTAAACATGCAAGTACAATGCCTGGGATATGTATAGACTTGTCAAGTATTGGTCCTTTAAAGATTGGAGGTCCAATTAAAGATGTTTGTTTTGGACTTTTGCAGAAAGGCGACCGTTCTCAAGCAACTTGTTCATACATCAATTATACAGTTACTGATGGAATGAATTCAAGACTTGTCGGAAGAATTCGCCATTCACCTTTCTCATTAAGCGACAGGGATGCTGAATTATATGTTAGATCAGTTCACTATGCATTGGAAAACTTCACTCCTGATATTAAATGCGGAAGAGCTTTAGATGAATTAATTGAATTTCAATCCCAAATTCAGAAGAGTTTTCCAAAACAGATTTCATAAAATCTTTAAAATGTATATTGTATTCGATGTTTGTAAACAATTTATAAGAAATAATTTTCAATATTTTTTTTTTACTAAGCCTTTCGAGCAGGATGCTTATAAGTTAATGCCTGTTAACACTTGGATGATATCATTATTTTTGGAATCTTACGAGCTGCAATCCAGCTGCTGCAGTTAGTTCCCTAGAAATTTGCCTTAAATACACAGCTGATTTGGGCAAAGAATCATCTTTTTCATCTGCTCCGTTGAAAAAGGGTAATTTTAGATTTGATCGATCGATTGCACATTTAAGACTATTTCAATATCAGGTTTAGCTAATAATATAAATAAAGTCGATGATGCCAATACAGATATTTCACTTGAAAAAAACACGAAAGCCTTAATAGATTGAAAAACTTCTTTCAGAGATAAATTAATTTATCTAATCACGATTTTTTAATATTTAGGTATACTTACACTTGTGGATCCCGTGGATTATACCTGACTTACTTGATTCCTTACAATTCCAGTGAGTCTACAAAAATCATTTCAACATAAAACTCAACACAGAAATTAAATCATTATTTGATTAAATCATTATTTTTATCAAATATAATCCTTCAATAATATTTTTTTAGAATAAATGTTTAATTCTTTACTCAGCACCAAGCGATTTAAGAATATTTTCCATAAATGTATTTTTTTGATCTCTGGCCATCTGAAGAGCTGTTTTTCCTTTATTGTTTTTTGCGTTGATATCTGCTCCATGAGAAACCAAATATCCAAATGTTTTTTGTATATTTGGACTTGTTTCCCAAGGATAAAAGCCTCTGTGATTTTCAAGTGTGATATAATGAATGGCTGTATTTCCATCTTTATCTTTTGCATTGACATCAATGTCATGTGATATTAGAAATTCATATGATTCTCTAGCATTAGAAACTGCAGCGTAGTGAAGTGCGGTTTTCCCATCACTACTCTTTGATGCAAAATCAGCACCGTGCAATATAAATAACTCTAGTGCATTTTTGTTGGATATGTATGCTGCTTGATGAAAGGCGTTCATTCCTTTTTCATTCTTTTTATTGAAATCTATTCCATTGGAAATGAAAATTTCTGCAATTTCTAGTGCAAGTTCTTTGTTGTGAGATGCTAATAAATAAAACAGTGGATTGTCGCCTAAGGAATTTATTGCATTTACATCAGCTCCATGAGCAATTAAACACTCTATTGCCTCTTTATTATTTTTATTTGCTGCTTCGAAAAGTGGTGTACATTTATTATCATTCCTTGCATTGACATCAGCTCCATGAGAAATTAAAAACTCGATAAGCTCTGCATTACCATAGTTGGCTGCACTAAAAAGACATGTCTCTCCTAATTCATTTTTTGCATTGATATCAGCTCCTTTTGATAAGAGATATTCACAAAGAGGAAGCAAATTAAAAGCCGGTGATTCTACAAAACATTTGTTGATACTTTTTGTCTGGTCCAAGTACATTAAAAATGCTTGAATATTATTGTATCTTGTACAATTAATTAAAATTGTATGTATATTGCATTCATTCATTAGAAATGAAACAAAATCAATGTTATGAGATACCATTGCATATTTAATACGATCGTCGTTTAAAAATGGATCTTTGAGATTTGTATACTTCAAGCATTCATTGACAATATCTGGTTTTCCACTCAAAAATGATAAACCAAAGCAATTCTCTGTGATGTCTAAGCCGAATTTACTGATTAATAACTTAAAGCAATCAACAGATCCGTGATAGCAACATAATTCAAGTAAAGTCATAGATCGAGGATAGAAAATGCTATGCAATGTTTGATTTTCATCAAAGTCTTCTAGTTCAGTGAATTTAATAAATGTTTGCAAGTCATTTTCCATAATTGCTCTGTTAATTGTGCATTTTTCATATACATCCATGGTAAGATCTTTACATTCTTCAATTACCTCCTCATTGCAAGGAATTCCATATTCTTTGAACATAAGGTATTGAAATGGATCAGAATTAATAATTAACTTACCTGGTTGATATTCATCGTAAACTTTTTTGAATAAAAACCAATATGACTTAAAATATTGGCATCTGAACCGGACTATTTCTGGAATAATATATAAAATATTCGAAGGCGTGCAGACTTTTGTTTCTATCAAATTGATTTTGATATCTTGGAAAATTTTGTCAATTACGGTCTCATCGAATGAATCTAGTTTGTATAATGCACTAAAAGTATCATGATATGCTTTGCAAAAGCTCATTGCCTCATCATACATGCTTTTTTCCTTGGAATTTTGGGGATGCCGGTGAATTTACCCAAAATATCACAAAATATTTTTGCTCAACTCGAGTAAGTACATTTCATTGGAACTTTTCGAGGACATATTTTGGGTGAAGCATGGATATCTCAGATCAAACCATCGTCAAATACATTAAGAGAGCCAAATAGATGCAACTCCAATTTCGCCAAGAACACTCAATTTTGCTAACACGGATATTCTGTACATTTCAAAACGCCAGAACTAGTAAAGAAGAGCCCAAACTAAAGAAAAAAACACAATAAAAAGATAATAATTCGCCAACAGATGATTCATATCTTAATAATGATCGTTCTTTACTTGATAGATACTAAAAGGATGACCAAATGAACGAAATATCCAATCAAAATAAGAAACCAGACAATTTCATTGACATCTACAATTACAGCAACAATAATACAACTGAAATATTCATAGTCAAAGGCACCAAATCTCCACAAAGCACAGGAAGCAGCAAAGTTGCCAAAACAAATATCAAGCTTGAGTTATCAACAATATTTGATACAGCAACAGCATCTACACTATCAGATCTATATACAAATCAAATCAAATTAAAAAAAATCTATTAGCCTGCAAAAAGGGAAAAAATTATTGAAAGCTGATAAATTACTTTCTGAAGAAGACGAAATCATCAGTGAAATATTTGATGTACCACACGAGAGAGTTATTCCAGAACACGAAATGAATAAGGATGAAGTCAGTCAGATGAAGAGAATTTTGATGAGTTCTAAATCAGCCAACGGAATTAGTTTTGTCTTCCCAATCAACGCATAGTGAGAAGGTTTATGCATTAGATCCTGCAAGAAGAAAGAAACAGAAGACAGAAATTGAAGAAAAAGAGAAAGTTTAATGATTCTGATGATTCGGATTATGATGCTAGCTCATCTAGAAAAGTTCCGAAATGCGTTGTTACTTATAAAGCTCTGTTGAAATTGGAGATGGAATTCCAGAGAAGAACGTCAAAAAGTTTTTTATCCTGCAATTGTTTTGTGTTCTTCAGATGCAGATATGGTTTTCTTAGAATTAGATGCTGGTATGTTTGGCCAAACAGTACAAGAGAAAGTTGAAGCACTTGAATCTCCATAAAAACCAATACTATTTTAATTATTATTGTTAAATTAAATGTTTTATGCTTTATTTCATTATATAATAACTTTTATGTTTTCATTATTGATTGAAAATGTAATAGGTGATGAGATCAGCTTCTACATAACTTTTTTTTTGCGAAATCAAATCTCTCGGTTTTCGAGAGCTAGTAAAAAAATGAACACTTGCAACAAGTAATTACAAATTTTTAAAATTTACTATTAATCATTACAAACAAGAAATTAGTCCATAGATAAAGGAAATTCAACAAAAAAATGCGATCAAACCTGCTTATTTTTAAGTTCAGAAACTTTATCAATAAGGTCACAAATAGTTTGTGGTTCGAGCTTTCCTAGGTTCAAAGAAACTGTAGTTTTTCTGCCAATTAATTTCGGTTCTCGAAGTTTGATGCATTCGGCTATTTCTGTTTTTTCTGTTTCACCATTTAATGATTCGATGTCTTTTCGAAGTTTAACTAATTCTTCATAAGAAAATTCAATTCCATTTTTAGGATTTATTTCATCATCTTCATTAGAAATGCATAACGTAGATGTGCTCTTTCTTTTATTGTTGTTTGTTGATGAAGTATTTATTGATTTAACTGAATCGCTTAATTTTTCTTGAAGAAACATTAATTTGTTCACCCAATCAACTTGAGGATTATCAGAAATATACATTAAAAGGTTATCTGCGTACTGTTTCATATCTAATGCTAAAATAGAAGTGATTGAATCTTCAATGCAGCATTTTTGAGAATTTTCCCAAATTAAATCTAAATCTTTTTTGAATTCGTGTACTGTTTTATATTTGTTGTTTTTTAATTTTCTTTCGATTGTTGTGAGGTCCATAGGAGTTTCAAGTTTTCCTTTAAAGTTGTTAAAGCCTTTCATTTTAGTATCAATTGGATCAATAAACCATTTTGCTGAAGGCCGTTGTTTTATCTTTGTCAAAGCCTGAAGTAGTTGCTTTCGAATTAGATTTTCCATTTTTTGATAAAATAAATTTCAGAAATCTGACAACGTCTTCTTTGTGGTTTTCTGAGACTAGATTATGAAATAAGTAGAAATTCAAAAGCGTAAATAAAATGGAAAAGTAGTATATGTGGAAGGGTTGTGTGACTTTTTTTGTAAACGTAAGAAGTAGTAGGATATGATGGGTTTTGTGACTTTTTTTGTTACATCTATATATAGACGATGCATTAAAATATATTTATTTATAAATCATTAAAAAATTAACATTAATTTTAAAATAATTTATTTTTTTATTCTTACATAAATGACCCAACAAGTAAAACCAGATAAAATAGATTATCGAATTTTAGAGGATGGTGTTCCTGTTTATATTCAAAGATTTAAAGGGAAGCAATATTATAGAATTGTTAATCCTGAATACATAAAACATTTATTTAAAAAGGAAGACTGTGAATTATTAAACGTTAATGAATATGAAACCAATAAATCAAAATTGAAATAATAAAATATTGGAAGTGATGAAAGATGCAAAGATAAAGATAAAGTTTATACAGTTTCATATAATAACTGGCACACGTTAGGGATTAGAAAACATTTAGGAGATTATGGTAAAAGTTCTGAATTCTTTAAATCTAGTATATACGAGAGAGTAAAAGAAATTAGATATAATTATCATTCATGAATGAAAAATAAACTTTAAAAATTCATGTCTTACATTTTTTGAATAATTTATTTTTTTAATTCGTATGAAAATGAGTGAATCAAAATTCGTGACTGTGAATCAATTAATGAATAAACTTTCACCAATTCTCACCCATGTTAAACAAGTAGACGTTTATTTTGATGATTGCATAGAAAGTTTATTTTATAAAGGTAAGTTTAATATTAAACCTATTGCTTTTGCATTTGATGGTAAATTAATCGAAAATTCAAAAATTTGGAATTAATTCCGGATATTGAATTTATAAACAAATATTAAGGATAAGTGGTTTAAACAACAAAACCTTTTCACTAAAGTTCTTTGTAGATTAATGATTAAAACTGAGGAAAAAGAATTTAACGAATTTAAATATCATCCATGTAAAATTTTAGAACTTGGTAACGAAAAACTTCAGAAAAAATTAAACGAAAGACTATCAAAAGATAAAGTTGAAAGAGTAAATAAACTCACTAAAGGTAATGATGATGAAGATGAATTTGATGAGTTCAACATTGAACTTTAAGAAACTAATGATTATTTGAATTTATGAAATCAATAATTTGATTTATTCGCTCTTCAATAATTTCTATTCTTTTTGTTAAATCATCTATTTTCATTAATGAGGTGATTCTTGATTGAGGAATAGATTTTAAACTAACCACTCCTTTTATTTTGAAATTTTGAATCCATGACCCTCCGGGTCTTGGACTCTGTCCTCAACTTTAAACATTTTATTCAATTTACACGTTGTCAATTCTTCAAATAATTTTTTATTATTAGCATAATAATCATTAAATTCTTCAACAGATGAAAAAATTTTTATTTCAGTAATTGGTTTAACAACGTTTATTTTTTGTTGAACATTTTCACTTTCATTTATTTCTTCCTCCTCTGTTTCATTTATTTTTAAAATCGGTTTCATTTATCATTAAATAAAAATTAGAATATAAGTGATGAAATATATTTTTTAATTAATATTAAATCAGAGATGAATACGGTCGAGCCAAAAGTGGCTCAACCTCAAAACGAGCATTTTATGAGCTTACTAAGGGTGTTATAAATGAATTCAAAGGTATTTACATACATCCTGACTTCGTTCATTTTGTTGCTGAATGGTGCTCCGTAAAGTATGCATTTTATGTCAAAGATATTATGGACTCCATAGACAAAAAAGTTCATGAGAAATTAGATGAAGAAGAACTCGAAGATACAGTAGAGAATGCGAAACATTTGTTTGAAGAAGAAGTTGGAAAAATGTGTGAAAAACAATTAGAACATGAACGAGAGATATGTTATGGTTATAGAGATTCTCCATACGAACTAGACCAATGGGAACAAGAAGATTTAAAGAGAGAATTTAGAGAATATGAACTCGCTAAGATAGCATTTGAAGCTGCAGAAAAGAAGTTAAAAGTTTGGGGTCGTTTTGTACAAAAATATTGTGAGTAAATGAACCATTTATTTTTGTCATAAAGACGCAACGTGGCGGGGCATAGCCCATGACCCAAAAATAATGTTTACGTTAAGTGACTCAAAGAGTCCGGAGACAAAGTCTCATGTTTTTAGGTTATTCAAAAATAATTAATTATTGAATAACCGAAGGTGCTACCATGCTACCATGTGCTACCAGGTCATTTAACTTCTCTGAAAAAATGAGACAACATGACATTTTGACAACAACATAGGAGGAAGGTAGTTATTCAAAAATAATTAATTATTGAATAACCGAAGGTGCTACCATGCTACCATGTGCTACCAGGTCATTTAACTTCTCTGAAAAAATGAGACAACATGACATTTTGACAACAACATAGGAGGAAGGTAGTTATTCAAAAATAATTAATTATTGAATAACCGAAGGTGCTACCATGCTACCATGTGCTACCAGGTCATTTAACTTCTCTGAAAAAATGAGACAACATGACATTTTGACAACAACATAGGAGGAAGGTAGTTATTCAAAAATAATTAATTATTGAATAACCGAAGGTGCTACCATGCTACCATGTGCTACCAGGTCATTTAACTTCTCTGAAAAAATGAGACAACATGACATTTTGACAACAACATAGGAGGAAGGTTTTGACATTTTGACAACAACATAGGAGGATTAATGCAAAAATAAATTCCAATCATACTTTATAAAGCTAGACCTTCAGGTCTCGCCGCTTAGCGGCTCATTTACAGGTATTTCATCGTCAGTAAATGATTCCTCATTATCGTTTGGTTCAACCTGTTTATATAATCCTTTCATTTCTTCTTTCAAAACATAACACCATGTTTGTTTACCGTCTATTCTTCTATGTTTCCTATCACATTTATCCTTAATACTCATTTGAAAGTTTTTGTCTTTCATGTCTGATGGTTTGCAGAATAGAGCATTTTCACACGTCATACCTGCACACAATTCATCATAATGTGTATTTATCCATACATCTAAAGGATTTGACGATAATTCAATTAAATCTTGTTTGGCTTCAGTCATCGGTATGATTCGTACATTAAATGATGAAAGGTCGTAATTGATAAAATACGTCAGTAAATTATCATAAAATTCCTTTGTGCATGAATCCATCAAATTCTTGAAGTAATCAAATTGACCCTTGAATTTACCATTAACTCTTAAAACTACGTATCTTCTGTCTCCAACTTCAATTTTGACAGGGTAAACGTTGTTAGTTACGAAAATGAAGTTTGCAACATTCTGAGCAGTTCTTCTGGGTTGATTCTTTTCATTAATTCTAATCTCATTATCCGTTATAATTGATTTCAAAGCGTTGAAGTTTGCGAGTCTATCTTCACCTACATTCTTGAGTTCATTAAGTACAAGAAACATTTTATTTTCAACAACTGAGTTGAAATTACCCGTTAGCTCACTTATTTCGGTAATGTTTTTGCATGAATAACCAGCGAGAAGTTCAGAAATAATGTCTGTAAATCTGTTTTTACCTGTTCCCTGAAGTCCTTTCAAAATAATTGCTGTTTCATTCTTGATTCCAGGATGTTGAATCATTGATGCAATCCAACCGAGAAGGTATTTATACACTTCATCGTTATTATCACAAATGGCTTCTTTAATGAAATTCATAAACATCTCAATTTTTGAGTAATCAGGCTTTTCGAGAATGTTGTATTTATAACCATGAAACGTTGAGAAAACATCGAGGGAATCAGATTTAAAGCAAACACCCTTAACGGTTAATGAGGATAATTGATTTAGTAGTACATCCCATGCTGTTATTGTTTTACCTTCTTCTTTAAATAATTTAATCATTTTGAGTGACTCTTTCATGTTTGACTGAAGAACAAATGATATTTGATTCATTTTGTCGTGTATGTTGTAATCTTTCTGAATGAAATATTTATTTCCACAATCTACAAAACGGATTACACGTGATAAATCCTCAATTACTTCAGAACTGTTTTTATACTGATGATTTTCAGCCTTGCGTCTAATATCTGTTATCAAAAACGAGTCGTCAAGTTTTATATCAAATGTTATTTTTGGCTTACGTAATAAAGGTAAAACATATTCATCATAATATTCCTTTTGATAAAGTTTTAGAATCTTCACCAAAACAAATGGAGAAGTCATTAAATGTGCATATCTATTACGTGCTTTTTCAAAATTACTTTTTGCATTTTCAGTTAAATTGCAGAAGTTATAAACGTTATCGTATGCTTCATTAATTAAATGATTAGGTAACGAATTAATAGCTTGAAACAGTGTGAATAATGTAACTTCTTTTTCTAAATTCATGTTTCCACCGTCATTATGTACTTCAAAATCACACATGCCATCAACTATGCTTTGAGCAAGTTTATCGTCAATGTTTACATCTTTGTTTTCATTCATGATAGTCTTTATTTCTTCGTTCTTCTGTTCAACTCTTACCTTAATATTCAAATCATTTAATATATCATTCACTGTTCTGGTTAATGTTGAATCATAACTTCCACGAATGAATGAGTATGTATTGATTGGTTCTGTTGCATTCTTGCGAACTCTTGAATCAGCCATAACTACTAAAGAACGCTTTGAATCATCCATTGAAGTCATTATATCAATATCGTAATCATTGCAGGAATAACATTTAATCATTCTGTTCGAGGTTGAATAGAAGAAATTAGTGTTGCAATAAATGTGAAGACCTCCTGAAGCGGTTTTAACGATAACATCTTTATCCGAAAGTTTTGATAAAATATCTTTTCTAACTGTTTCTTTAAGTTCATCATTGTATGATTTATTGATATCAACATCTATAATCGTTAAATTTGAAATTTTATTTACTAATAAAGCCATACCAGTTTTCCTTCCTCTTCCTCCATCGTGTTTGAGGTAGTTATGTAAATCAATCTTGTTTTCACCAATTCTTTCGTTGAGGGTTTTAGTTTCTGCCACAACTAATTCCTCAGCTAATGAATCAATGATATTTTCATCAGAAACGATATAGTTGTTGCTGTTGTTTGTTGCTGTCATTTATATAGGAATAAAAAATAAAAACAATTTTAAAACTAACTTTATTTTTGGACTGCATCATATTTTCCTATGTTGTTGTCAAAATGTCATGTTGTCACATTTTTTCAGAGAAGTTAAATGACCTGGTAGCACATGGTAGCATGGTAGCACCTTCGGTTATTCAATAATTAATTCATAACTACCTGCCTCCTGTGTTGTTGTCAAAATGTCAAAACCTTCAGGTCTCGTCACACAGTGACTGTTGTCAAAATGTCATGTTGTCTCATTTTTTCAGAGAAGTTAAATGACCTGGTAGCACATGGTAGCATGGTAGCACCTTCGGTTATTCAATAATTAATTCATAACTACCTGCCTCCTGTGTTGTTGTCAAAATGTCAAAACCTTCAGGTCTCGTCACACAGTGACTGTTGTCAAAATGTCATGTTGTCACATTTTTTCAGAGAAGTTAAATGACCTGGTAGCACATGGTAGCATGGTAGCACCTTCGCGTTATTCAATAATTAATTCATAACTACCTGCCTCCTGTGTTGTTGTCAAAATGTCAAAACCTTCAGGTCTCGTCACACAGTGACTGTTGTCAAAATGTCATGTTGTCTCATTTTTTCAGAGAAGTTAAATGACCTGGTAGCACATGGTAGCATGGTAGCACCTTCGGTTATTCAAAAATAATTAATTATTGAATAACCTAAAAACATTAACGATAAAATAAGTGATAACAAATTTTTATTTTTATCATAAATGAATACCCCACAAGCTCAAAATTTACCACGAATCATAACAAGGGAGGAAATGATAAAAATGATGCGAGAACATGTTAAAAATAACAAACCACTAAAATTGAGAAAATGTGGTTATGCAGTAATGATGGAAAGAGAGATGTTGTCGAAGAGGAATAAAAATTAAATTTGGATAGAGTTTAAAAATTCATCTTTATTAAATTCATCTCTTCCAATCAATTTATTTATTCTATTAAATTCTTTTATTTTTGCTTCACTCAGTTTAAGGATTGAACGATAAGTTTCTAATTTTTCGATTATTTCTTTCCTCTCTTTATCGTTTTCAACCCCACCGCATTGCGACTTCTTTTTGTAATAGCATATTTTTGATTTAATTCTGTTTAGTTTCTTTTTATATTCATTGTCTGGACTCTTGGATGCTTCGTTGTCACTCATTTCTTACGAAATAAAAAAATTAAATATTATTTAAATATAATGGAGTAATAAAATAAATCGGAATTTCTATTAATTTATTGTCAACTTCAACTAATGCATTGCCGTTAATATATCTCACAAATTCAGCTATTGTGTCAAATCTTCGTCTTCTTTTTGTCATTGATTTATCAGTTTTTCCATAATCGAGATGAATCAAAACTTTATCCCCTTGTTTAAAATTCATGAGCCCCGAATTAATTTGTTCACGTTTAACATCATTCAACCTTTCCATTTGCTTTCTAATATATTCCCATTCTTTTGAAATATCATTTTTCATTTCCACCGGTTTCATGTTTATTGTTCTATGCCATGTATTATTGTAATAATATACTAACTGTTGTATGATGGAGTCATGATTTCCATCCCAGTATATCTGACCGTTAACCCCTAACGCATCTCTAAGAGTTCTCATTACCACATCAACTATTTTATTATGAAACGTAAATGGAGAGGATGAAAAGTAAAAATTAATTTGTGGGAAATAATGAGTCATAGCTGCCTGAAATCCTTTATCACCATCACCCCTTATATTATCTACTCTTTCATGATCTAGTAAGTATTGAATAGCTCTTCTTGTTTCCTGTTCTGTTTTCCCTTTCACCGGAATGCAATATAAATATCTGGTGTTAATGTTAATGGCAAATAAATAAGTAACGTTTCCTTTTGAATATTCTAAATGATCAATTTCGTATGAATATGGATATAGTGCAAATGAAGGGCGACTAAATTTTTCCTTTAACGGTTGAATTTTTGGGTCAATTGGTTTATTTAATATTTTGAAATCCTTTTTAAAATCTTTTTGCTTCTTTAATGTTTGAAATGGATATAATAAAGTGAATGATGAAGGATTAACTGAAGGAGGAGGTGGTACTGTCGTTGGAGGTTTTGGTGTTGCAAGTGGTTTAATTTTATCTGCTTTGATTTTGGATGATGAAGTTTTGGAATTCATTCCTTCCTTCATTAATTCTGGATGTATTCTATTCATTTGTTTTAAATATGCTGTATATAAAGGTTTAATATACTTTCCCGCTTCGAGTTTATGTTGAAGGATGAATTCCAAAAGTTGATCTTCATTTAAAAGTCGGGCTGAATATGGTTTAACTAATGAATCATAAATTAAAGCTTGTGCATCATTTATGGTCTGAAGGACCTGGGTGTTTTGCACCTTTTGTTTTTGCTCCTTTTGCTTTTGCGGCTCAGGATTATATAATTTATATAATTCATCAATATCTTCTTCTGTTAATACTTTATTTTTGAAATCTTTCAACTGTTTAAGTTGTGATTTAGTTTTTTCCTTTGTATATTCATTATTTTTAATTTTGTCTTTAATTTTAGAAATTATTTTATCATGATATTTCAAAACTGCATTTTTATAATATGGATAATAATATTCCATATCATCACCCGTTATATTTTTATTATGTTTTTGGAGATATGCTTTTAAATCGTAATAATCAAGAAAATTTTGATTAAGTACTAAATCATCAATCAAAATTTTTAAATCTACGCTATTCATTTATATAAAAATAAAATAAATGTTTTAAGGGTGCCCACCTCTTTGAATCATAGTATCAAAACCATCATTAACGGTTCCTTTTGTCTCTTCTGTGGCATTTTATTAAAAATAAAATTTTAAATTGTATTAAATAAATGGCATACAACATCCATTTTCACAACATACAGCCTTAGTGTGTGCTCCTGTTAATGCAGTCTTACCGATTGTTAAGCGAGTCATTGACCCGTTTTTAAGTTGTAAATTAATATTCTGACCATCAAATATCACTTTATCATTTATTATATCCAAATAATTTTTAGGTGTTAATTGCTTATTTTGTCGTAAACTAACACCTTTCATTTTTTGTGCAATCTTTTTAAAATCACTTCCATCAATTGAACCGTTGAATGATGTATAACACTTAGGGCATAAAGCAACCATGTTATCACCTTGTTTCTCAATTGCTAAACCCAATAACTTCTTCTCATGTGCTTTTTCTTCAGCTTTATTCTTTAATTTAGGTTTAAATTTCTCATTAAAACAAAAGAAATCAAAAGGTGCGAATTTGTAAATGTTTTTATCATAAAATTTTTTATCGGTAACAATTGCTTGAAATGCTTGAGTGTTAGGAAGATTTGGGTCGCCAGCAATAGCCCAATAAGATGAATCAGTATCACCTTCAATGAAATGAAAACGATTAACATCCATGCATTTATACATAAAATCATAAATGAAAACCAAATACCAGTATTTAGCATTATCTAAAGTGAAGAATGCCTCTTGTAAACATGTATCACATCTATAAAATCTATCTTTAAGCATCACTTGATACGTATCTTCACCTATTTCTCTTATGTTTTTAAACTTATTTGACATACATGCAACGCGTGCCTTCCGTGCATTCATTATTTTAGTCTTTGCGTAATTTTGTGTATTCATTGCATCGTAACCATATGATCCATTAAGTGAAATCTTGCAAAATAAACTTTTTCCTTTATTTCCTTCTAATTCAGCCTTTTGTCTTTCATTCATAAATTCGTTCGCAAATTCATTAAAACAAGTGTTTTTAGTAAATGTTAAAATTGATTGAATATCATCAATGATAAAATGAAATCTGTCTATTAGATACCAAAGATAATAAGAAGAAAATGGTTGATATTGGTTGTGTGTTGATGCTAACTGAGTTAATTTTCTCTGTTTCTGGTCAACTGGTAGATTGTTTGATTTCATGTAATTATACATAAAACTGCCAATTGTTTTTTCATCTGTGATAATATCTAAGTTTCTTATTATCGGTAAAAAGTTTATGTAATCATTAATGTATTTTTCATCAATGTGACCCTTTACTTCAGCCACGAATAAAGTATTTTTCTTCTTAATTATTCCCAATGCTTTTGCTTTCTTTGTTGCTGTATCACAAATGATAACACCATTCAATCTTCCCGGCATATACATTTTATGGTCAGTATATTGAATGAAATCATGAGGATTAGATGAAAATGATGAAGGATATAATGAATTAAAGTCAACACCAACGAAATGAGTCATAATGTTGGAAGTGTCCTCATTTGATACAGTTTTAGTTTCTGGATTATATGAAAGTTTATTAATGTGCGTGATTCCTTTAAGATTTACTCTATGTTGAACATTTGATAAACCACCAGTAATTCCATTACGGAGAATGTGATAAGCTTCAACTGAATCTAGAGTCATTGGTAAATTATTTTTTAATGTATAATTTCTTAAATTGATTCTTAAACGTTGAACATCTTCATCTTTATTTGATTTTACGACATTGCAATAACAACACATTAACTGACAATTTTCTTTGGTATGTGGTTTTTCATTATCGATTCTATCTAATGTTGGTTTATTAGCATATGTAAACGCTTTACCACACATTTTGCATTTAGATGAAAGGATTAAATCGTGATAGTATTGATAGTCATCCATTGAAACATTGTTTTTAGTATCCCTTTCTGCTTTTTCATCTTGTTTCTTATATGAATCAATTTTATATTTCCAATACTTTTTTGTTAATTCAAAACTTGATTCCACATTTTCTTCTTCTGGATATGTTTCGTTAGGATTGAAGTTCTTATATGCTAACGCGTAACGAATCATTGATGCATTCGATGATAAAGAAAGATTATGAAGCATGTCAATTTTATAAACAAATGTTTCTTCAATAATTTTATCAATTGGGTCAATCATAATTTCAACGTCTTTATTGCAATAATGAATAAAATATTCTAATCTATTCTCAAAATTTTTAGCATCATTGAGATATATTTGATAATCTGAATCGGATATTGTTTCTTGAGTTAATGCTGAATAAAATGAATCTTGAGTGAATGGTTCCACTTTATATAATTCATCTTCGTAATTCTCCCATGTGATGAATTGATAAGGGAAAAAGGATTTAACACGTGATTTATTGTTTCCGAAATCTTGAGTGAATTGGTCTAATGTTCCACCCGCTATATAATTTCTGATGTCAATAAATCTTAATTCATATGGACAGTTTGTTTTCTTTACAATGATTTGCTTAAATTGAGAAGAAGAACCCAGCATTGATTTTATTTTCCATTTTGCAGTGTTTAAATCACGAAGAATTAAATTTAAATCAAACTTTCCCGAATTAAAACCTATGATATTCACTTTATTGAATTCCTCATCTAGAAGTTCTTTAAATGCTTCCTTCTGTTTTTCATTTAATGTATGGGACAAAGTCCCCGCCGTTTGGTCCGTTTGCGGCTTCATTAATTCTTCATATTGTTCAATATTTGATTTAGCAACTAATGAACAGGTTGAAAATAAAAATTCAATCCAATCAGAGATGAACGAATCACTTGATGTTAAGCAAAAATTCCTCGTAAATGTTTTATCACGGTCTACGACCTCGCCGCTTCGGTCTGAAAGACCTTCAGGACTCAAAGAGTCCGTTTGCGGCTTTATTTTGACAGTTGATGATACCATAAATGGTTTTAAGTAAGCGTTCAAAGTTGCACATTCAGAAAGTTGAAGTTCTTCTTTAGTCTCTAATGTTTCGAAGTCAAAAGTAATATAATATCTTGTTGGTTTATAATATTCCTGCAAATTGTGAGCTAATAGCCATTGATATATCTTCTGTTTCGTGATATGTGGTGCATATGGTTGTTGTGTGTTTTGCAATTGAACGTCTTGAATTAATCTTCCATTATTTTCTTTACATTTCTCACAATGTTTTAAAAATCTTCTTTGGTTTTTCCTTTCTGGGTCATCACGGATAGAATATACTTCTTCTTTGCAAAAGGGGCAAACTTTATATCCTGTGAGTGCTTCAACGTCTGTAATTCTGTCAGCGTGAAGTTTTCCACATGGACTCTGTGTTAATAAAATATTTACTGTTTCAAATTCTGGATCTATCATTATTGATTCCACTAATGGAAAGTCTACCTTATTTATGTCTACGTCTTCTGGTTGAGGGTCACAATAATAAAAATCAATATTAACGTTTAACATTCTTGCTAACCTCTCACTTTCTGATGAAATGTCAAATCCTTCATATGCATCTATGGCTTCATTTAAATAACTTCTACGAGTTTTAGGATTAACACCATCAGGAATGTTATAGAAGCGTTTAAATAACCTTCTACCTTCGGCTCTTATTTGATTATCATTCATTTTAGCTGTTCCGTTTTTGTTCATTTATGTAAGAATAAAAAATTAAAAAATAAATAAAAATAAAGTTTATTTTTTTAAAGTCCAGGGCTAAAGTCCATAAAATGAATTAAGAACACATAAATTTTTATCATCTGCGACGTGACGAATACATTTTAATTTACTCAAGAATGCGTACCCTGATACATTAAATCTAATTCCTGTCTTATTTAATTTCACAACTTTGAAAAGGAATGTATGAATAGCTATAAAATGATGAGATGATGTTTTATGGGTTGCTTCCATTTTTTCTGAAATAAATGAATAAATATAATGTTTATAAGTTTTCATATCTTTTATATTCTTAATAACGAATGGTATAGACCTTTCAACTTCGTCTTCCTTCGGTGCTGTTCTTTCATATGAAACATTATTAGTATCTTCAATAATGAAACCACAATCGCATAAAATTTTATATGTACCAATTGTTTCTTTTGATATTTTATCTAACAAATCAAAAACTTTATCAACACCTGTACATTTATTTAAATAATAATTTGTGTAAATATCATGGTCTTCTTTCTTAATCGTATTTGTTGCATATGTTACATTTTTCAGTGCTTTTTTGAATTTTTCAGAATCAAGAGGAGGTGAAAGTAATATACATGGATAATCTCCATCGTCAATAAATTGTAACTTATGTTTATGAATAAATTTTGTGCCTTCTTCTGAAAGTGTTTCATCTATTTCACCATCTAATAAATTTTTAGTAGATTCCAAAAAGTAATTTTTATATCTTTCTTCATGAGATTTTTGAACTTCTGATTCTGAAGCTGGGATATTCATTAAACCCTCTACTTCATTCTCATTATATTTTCAACTTCTCTTAATTCCTTAATTTTTTCATCTATTTCATCTCTTATTTTTTCCAGTCTTTCAATTTCATCATATTCATCATCTTTAATCCGTTCTTCATAATATTCAGGGAAAACATCAGGTTCTTTAGGTTTTTCTTCTTCAGATGTGGGATATAAGAAATTTATAACATCATCTTTATTCATTTTTCCATCATAATCTAAATCATTTAATAACTCCGCGAATTTTTGACAATTTCTTAAATAATATTTATTAACTTCATAACTCGCCTCCTCTAATATATCCTTTATTTCCTCGTTTGTGAATCCCAATTTTTTAACGTCGTTAGTCTTGACACTCATTTTCATACGAATTAAAAAAATAAATTATTCAAAAAATGTAAGACATGAATTTTTAAAGTTTATTTTTCATTCATGAATGATAATTATATCTAATTTCTTTTACTCTCTCGTATATACTAGATTTAAAGAATTCAGAACTTTTACCATAATCTCCTAAATGTTTTCTAATCCCTAACGTGTGCCAGTTATTATATGAAACTGTATAAACTTTATCTTTATCTTTGCATCTTTCATCACTTCCAATATATTTATATTTCAATTTTGATTTATTGGTTTCATATTCATTAACGTTTAATAATTCACAGTCTTCCTTTTTAATAAATGTTTTATGTATTCAGGATTAACAATTCTATAATATTGCTTCCTTTAATCTTTGAATATAAACAGGAACACATCCTCTAAAATTCGATAATCTATTTTATCTGGTTTTACTTGTTGGGTCATTTATGTAAGAATAAAAAAATAAATTATTTTAAAATTAATGTTAATTTTTTAATGATTTATAAATAAATATATTTTAATGCATCGTCTATATATAGATGTAACAAAAAAAGTCACAAAACCCATCATATCCTACTACTGTAAGAATTCATACAATATTGAACGATTTTGTATCATTTTTTTAACATATGAAGTAAAAAATGTATGATTCTTACGGTTTTTATTCTTACGTTTTTGAATAAATCAAGATTTAAAAATGATACAAAATTGTAAGACATTTACACTCAGCCCATACATAATGAAATAAAAGAAGTTATATATAGATGATGTCAGATATTCCGCGATTAATTAATTATTGTTGAAAATAAAGATTGAGTTCAACATTGAACTTTAAGAAACTAATGATTATCATGAATGAAAAATAAACTTTAAAAATTCATATCTTACAGTTCTGAATAATTTATTTTTATTTTGTATGAAATGAGCGTCAAAACTAACAATGTTAAAAATTTAGGATTCACAAACGAGGAAATAAAGGATATATTAGAGGAGGCGGGTTATGAAGTTGATAAATATTATTTAAGAAATTGTAAAAAATTCGCGGAGTTTTTAAATGAATTTGGTTATGATGGAAAAATGAATAAAGATGATGTTATAAATTTCTTATATCCCACATCTAAAGAAGAAAAACCTAAAGAACCTGATGTTTTCCCTGAATATTATGAAGAACGAATTAAAGATGATGAATATTATAACGATGAGATTGAGAAATTGGAACAATTAAGAAATGAAATAGATGAAAGAATTAGTGAATTGAGAAATGCTGAGAATGAAGTAGAGGGTTTAATGAATATCCCAGCTTCAGAATCAGAAGTTCAAAAATCACATGAGGAAAGATATAAAAATTACTTTTTGGAATCTACTAAAAATTTATTAGATGGTGATATTGACGAAACACTTTCAGAAGAAGGCACAAAATTTATTCATAAACATAAGTTACAATTTATTGATAATGAAGAATACCCTTGTATCTTACTTTCACCACCTTTAGATTCCGAGAAATTCAAAAAAGCTCTTAAAAACGTGACATATGCAACTAATACGATTAAGAAAGAAGATCATGATATTTACACAAATTATTATTTAAATAAATGCACAGGTGTTGATAAAGTTTTTGATTTGTTAGATAAAATATCAAAAGAAACAATTGGTACATATAAAATTTTATGCGATTGTGGTTTCATTATTGAAGATACCAATAATGTTTCATATGAAAGAACAGCACCGAAGGAAGACGAAGTTGAAAGGTCTATACCATTCGTTATTAAGAACATAAAAGATATGAAAACTTATAAACATTATATTTATTCATTTATTTCAGAAAAAATGGAAGCAACCCATAAAACATCATCTCATCATTTTATAGCTATTCATACATTCCTTTTCAAAGTTGTGAAATTAAATAAGACAGGAATTAGATTTAATGTATCAGGGTACGCATTCTTGAGTAAATTAAAATGTATTCGTCACGTCGCAGATGATAAAAATTTATGTGTTCTTAATTCATTTTATGGGCTTTAAAAAATAAATTTTATTTTTATTTATTTTTTATTCTTACATAAATGAACAAAAACGGAACCGCTAAAATGAATGATAATCAAATAAGAGCCGAAGGTAGAAGGTTATTTAAACGCTTCTATAACATTCCTGATGGTGTTAATCCTAAAACTCGTAGAAGTTATTTAAATGAAGCCATAGATGCATATGAAGGATTTGACATTTCATCAGAAAGTGAGAGATTAGCGAGAATGTTAAATGTTAATATTGATTTCTATTATTGTGATCCTCAACCAGAAGACGTGGACATAAATAAGGTAGACTTTCCATTAGTGGATTCAATAATGATAGATCCAGAATTTGAAACAGTAAATATTTTATTAACACAGAGTCCATGTGGAAAACTTCACGCTGACAGAATAACAGACGTTGAAGCACTCACCGGCTATAGAGTTTGTCCATATTGTAAAGAAGAAGTTTATTCTATCCGTGATGATCCAGAAAGGAAAAACCAAAGAAGATTTTTAAAGCATTGTGAGAAATGTAAAGAAAATAATGGAAGATTAATTCAAGACGTTCAGTTGCAAAAGACACAGCAACCATATGCACCACATATTACGAAACAGAAGATATATCAGTGGTTATTAGCTCATAATTTGCAGGAATATTATCAACCGACAAGATATTATATTACTTTTGACTTCGAAACATTAGAGACTAAAGAAGAATTACAACTTTCTGAGTGTGCAACTTTGAACGCTTACTTAAAACCATTCATGGTATCATCAACGGTTAAATTAAATGATAAAACATATACGAGGAATTTTTGCTTAACTTCGAGTGATTCTTTTATTTCTGACTGGATTGAGTTTTTATTTTCAACCTGTTCATTAGTTGCTAAATCAAATATTGAACAATATGAAGAATTAATGAAGTCGCAAACATTAAATGAAAAACAGAAGGAAGCATTTAAAGAACTTCTAGATGAGGAATTCAATAAAGTGAATATCATAGGTTTTAATTCGGGAAAGTTTGATTTAAATTTAATTCTTCGTGATTTAAACACTGCAAAATGGAAAATAAAATCAATGCTGGGTTCATCTTCACAATTTAAGCAAGTCATAGTAAAGAAAACAAACGCTCCATATGAATTGAGATTTATTGACATCAGAAATTATATAGCGGGTGGGACATTAGACCAATTCACTCAAGATTTCGGAAACAATAAATCACGTGTTAAATCCTTTTTCCCTTATCAATTCATCACGTGGGAAAATTACGAAGAAGAATTATATAAAAAGGAACCATTCACTCAAGATTCATTTTATTCAGCATTAACACAAGAAACAATATCCGATTCAGATTATCAAATATATCTCAATGATGCTAAAAACTTTAAGAATAGATTAGAATATTTTATTCATTATTGCAATAAAGATGTTGAAATTATGATTGACCCAATTGATAAAATTATTGAAGAAACATTTGTTTATAAAATTGATATGCTTCATAATCTTTCTTTATCATCGAATGCTTCAATGATTCGTTACGCGTTAGCATATAAGAACTTCAATCCTAACGAAACATATCCAGAAGAAGAAAATGTGGAATCAAGTTTTGAATTAACGAAAAAGTATTGGAAATATAAAATTGAATCATATAAGAAACAAGATGAAAAAGCAGAAAGGGATACTAAAAATAATGTTTCAATGGATGATTTTCAATACTATCACGATTTAATCCTTTCATCTAAATGCAAAATGTGTGGTAAAGCGTTTACATATGCAAATAAACCAACATTGGATAGAATAGATAATGAAAAACCACATACTAAAGAAAATTGTCAGTTAATGTGTTGTTATTGCAATGTCGTAAAATCAAATAAAGATGAAGATGTTCAACGTTTAAGAATCAATTTAAGAAATTATGCATTAAAAAATAATTTACCAATGACTTTAGATTCAGTTGAAGCTTATCACATTCTCCGTAATGGAATTACTGGTGGTCTATCAAATGTTCAACATAGGGTAAATCTTAAAGGAATCACGCACATTAATAAACTTTCATATAATCCAGAAACTAAAACTGTATCAAATGAGGACACTTCCAACATCATGACTCATTTCGTTGGAGTTGACTTTAATTCATTATATCCTTCATCATTTTCATCTAATCCTCATGATTTCATTCAATATACTGACCATAAAATGTATATGCCGGGAAGATTGAATGGTGTTATCATTTGTGATACAGCAACAAAGAAAGCAAAAGCACTGGGAATAATTAAGAAGAAAAATACTTTATTCATGGCTGAAGTAAAGGGTCACATTGATGAAAAATACATTAATGATTACATTAACTTTTTACCGATAATAAGAAACTTAGATATTATCACAGATGAAAAAACAATTGGCAGTTTTATGTATAATTACATGAAATCAAACAATTTACCAGTTGACCAGAAACAGAGAAAATTAACTCAGTTAGCATCAACACACAACCAATATCAACCATTTTCTTCTTATTATCTTTGGTATCTAATAGACAGATTTCATTTTATCATTGATGACATTCAATCAATTTTAACATTTACGAAAAACACTTGTTTTAATGAATTTGCGAACAAATTTATGAACGAAAGACAAAGGGCTGAATTAGAAGGAAATAAAGGAAAAAGTTTATTTTGCAAGATTTCACTTAATGGATCATATGGTTACGATGCAATGAATACACAAAATTACGCAAAGACTAAAATAATGAATGCACAGAAGTCACGCGTTGCATGTATGTCAAATAAGTTTAAAAACATAAGAGAAATAGGAGAGGATACATATCAAGTGATGCTCAAAGATAGATTTTATAGATGTGATACATGTTTACAAGAGGCATTCTTCACTTTAGATAATGCTAAATACTGGTATTTGGTTTTCATTTATGATTTTATGTATAAATGCATGGATGTTAATCGTTTTCATTTCATTGAAGTGATACTGATTCATCTTATTGGGCAATCGCTGGCGACCCAAATCTTCCTAACACTCAAGCATTTCAAGCAATTGTTACTGATAAACAATTTTATGATAAAAACATTTTCAAATTCGCACCTTTTGATTTCTTCTGTTTTGATGAGAAATTTAAACCTAAATTAAAGAATAAAGCTGAAGAAAAAGCACATGAGAAGAAGTTATTGGTTTAGCAATTGAGAAACAAGGTGATAACATGGTTGCTTTATGTCCTAAGTGTTATACATCATTCAACGGTTCAATTGATGGAAGTGATTTTAAAAAGATTGCACAAAAAATGAAAGGTGTTAGTTTAAGACAAAATAAACAATTAACACCTAAAAATTATTTGGATATAATAAATGATAAATTGATATTTGATGGTCAGAATATTAATTTACAACTTAAAAATGGGTCAATGACTCGCTTAACAATTGGTAAGACTGCATTAACAGGAGCACACACTAAGGCTGTATGTTGTGAAAATGGATGTTGTATGCCATTTATTTAATAAAATACCACAGAAGAGACAAAAGGAACCGTTAATGAAGGATTTGATACTATGATTCAAAGAGGTGGGCACCCTTAAAACACTTATTTTATTTTTATATAAATGGATAACACAGATTTAAAAAATTTAATTGATGATTTAATATTTAATCAAAATTTTCTTGATTATTATGATTTAAAAGCATATCTCCAAAAATATGATAACAATATAACGGGTGATGATATGGAATATTATTATCCATATTATAAAAATGAAGTTTTGAAATATCATGATAAAATAATTTCTAAAATTAAAGACAAAATTAAAAATAATGAATATTCAAAGGGAAAAACTAAATCACAGCTTAAACAGTTGAAAGATTTCAAAAATAAAGTATTAACAGAAGAAGATATTGATGAATTATATAAATTATATAATCCTGAGCCGCAAAAACCAAAGGAACAAAAACAAATGGTGCAAAACGCCCAGGTTCTTCAGACCATAAATGATGCACAAGCTTTAATTTATGATTCATTAGTTAAACCATATTCAGCCCGACTTTTAAATGAAGATCAACTTTTGGAATTCATCCTTCAACATAAACTCGAAGCAGGAAAGTATATCAAACCTTTATATACAGCATATTTAAAACAAATGAATAGAATACATCCAGAATTAATGAAGGGGGGAATGAAATCCAAAATCAAAGCAGATAAAATTAAACCACCTGCAACACCAAAACCTCCAACGACAGTACCGCCTCCTCCTTCAGTTAATCCTTCATCATTCACTTTATTATATCCATTTCAAACATTAAAGAAGCAAAAAGATTTTAAAAAGGATTTCAAAATATTAAATAAACCAATTGACCCAAAAATTCAACCGTTAAAGGAAAAATTTAGTCGCCCTTCATTTGCTCCATATCCATATTCATATGAAATTGATCATCTGGAATATTCAAAAGGAAACGTTACTTATTTATTTGCCATTAACATTAACACTAGATATTTATATTGCATTCCAGTGAAAGGGAAAACAGAACAGGAAACAAGAAGAGCTATTCAATACTTACTAGATCATGAAAGAGTAGATAATATCAGGGGTGATGGTGATAAAGGATTTCAGGCAGCTATGACTCATTATTTTCCACAAATTAATTTTTACTTCTCATCCTCTCCATATACATTTCATAATAAAATAGTTGATGCGGTAATGAGAACTCTTAGAGATGCGTTAGGGGTTAACGGTCAGATATACTGGGATGGAAATCATGACTCCATCATACAGCAGTTAGTATATTATTACAATAATACATGGCATAGAACTATAAACATGAAACCAGTGGAAATGAAAAATGATATTTCAAAAGAATGGGAATATATTAGAAAGCAAATGGAAAAGTTAAATGATGTTAAACGTGAACAAATTAATTCGGGCTCATGAATTTTAAACAAGGAAATAAAGTTTTAATTCATCTCGATTATGGAAAAACTGATAAATCAATGACAAAAAGAAGACGAAGATTTGACACAATAGCTGAATTTGTGAGATATATTAACGGCAATGCATTAGTTGAAGTTGACAATAAATTAATAGAAATTCCGATTTATTTTATTACTCCATTATATTTAAATAATATTTAATTTTTTTATTTCGTAAGAAATGAGTGACAATGAAGCAGTCAAGAGTCCAGACAATGAATATAAAAGAAACTAAACAGAATTAAATCAAAAATATGCTATTACAAAAAGAAGCCACAATGCGGTGGGGTTGAAAACGATAAAGAAATAATCGAAAAATTAGAAACTTATCGTTCAATCATTAAACTGAGTGAAGCAAAAATAAAAGAATTTAATAGAATAAATAAATTGGTTGGAAGAGATGAATTTAATAAAGATGAATATTTAAACTCTATCCAAATTTAATTTTTATTCCTCTTCGACAACATCTCTCTTTCCATCATTACTGCATAACCACATTTTCTCAATTTTAGTGGTTTGTTATTTTTAGCAAGTTCTCGCATCATTTTTTATCGTTTCCTCCCTTGTTATGATTCGTGGTAAATTTTGAGCTTGTGGGGTATTCATTTATGATAAAAATAAAATTTAAATTATGCCGTTCTAAAGTTTGTGACAACATGACATTTTGACAACATCATGGTTATTCAATAATTAATTATTTTTGAAGAACTGAAGGGGTCACCAGGTCACCAGGTCACCAGGTCATTTAACTTCTCTGAAAAAATGTGACAACATGACATTTTGACAACATCATGGGTTATTCAATAATTAATTATTTTTGAAGAACTGAAGGGGTCACCAGGTCACCAGGTCACCAGGTCATTTAACTTCTCTGAAAAAATGTGACAACATGACATTTTGACAACATCATGGGTTATTCGATAATTAATTATTTTTGAAGAACTGAAGGGGTCACCAGGTCACCAGGTCACCAGGTCATCATTTAACTTCTCTGAAAAAATGTGACAACATGACATTTTGACAACATCATGGGTTATTCGATAATTAATTATTTTTGAAGAACTGAAGGGGTCACCAGGTCACCAGGTCACCAGGTCATTTAACTTCTCTGAAAAAATGTGACAACATGACATTTTGACAACATCATGGGTTATTCGATAATTAATTATTTTTGAAGAACTGAAGGGGTCACCAGGTCACCAGGTCACCAGGTCATTTAACTTCTCTGAAAAAATGTGACAACATGACATTTTGACAACATCATGGGTTATTCAATAATTAATTATTTTTGAAGAACTGAAGGGGTCACCAGGTCACCAGGTCACCAGGTCATTTAACTTCTCTGAAAAAATGTGACAACATGACATTTTGACAACATCATGGGTTATTCGATAATTAATTATTTTTGAAGAACTGAAGGGGTCACCAGGTCACCAGGTCACCAGGTCATTTAACTTCTCTGAAAAAATGTGACAACATGACATTTTGACAACATCATGGGTTATTCAATAATTAATTATTTTTGAAGAACTGAAGGGGTCACCAGGTCACCAGGTCACCAGGTCATTTAACTTCTCTGAAAAAATGTGACAACATGACATTTTGACAACATCATGGGTTATTCAATAATTAATTATTTTTGAAGAACTGAAGGGGTCACCAGGTCACCAGGTCACCAGGTCATTTAACTTCTCTGAAAAATGTGACAACATGACATTTTGACAACATCATGGGTTATTCAATAATTAATTATTTTGAAGAACTGAAGGGGTCACCAGGTCACCAGGTCATTTAACTTCTCTGAAAAAATGTGACAACATGACATTTTGACAACATCATGGGTTATTCAATAATTAATTATTTTTGAAGAACTGAAGGGGTCACCAGGTCACCAGGTCACCAGGTCATTTAACTTCTCTGAAAAAATGTGACAACATGACATTTTGACAACATCATGGGTTATTCGATAATTAATTATTTTTGAAGAACTGAAGGGGTCACCAGGTCACCAGGTCACCAGGTCATTTAACTTCTCTGAAAAAATGTGACAACATGACATTTTGACAACACAGGAGGATTAATGAGGAAGGCAAAAATAAATTCAAATCATACTTTATAAAGCTTCATTCACAGGTATTTCATCGTCAGTAAAATGATTCCTCATTATCGTTTGGTTCAATTTGTTTATATAATCCTTTCATTTCTTCTTTCAAAACATAATACCATGTTTGTTTACCATCTATTTTTCTTTGTTTCCTTTCACATTTATCCTTAATGCTCATTTGAAAGTTTTTGTCTTTCATGTCTGATGGTTTGCAGAATAGAGCATTTTTACACGTCATACCTGCACATAATTCATCATAATGTGTATTTATCCATTCATCTAAAGGATTTGTTGATAATTCAATTAAATCTTGTTTGGCTTCAGTCATCGGAATGATTCGTACATTAAATGATGAAAGGTCATATTGCATAAAATATGTTAAAAGGTTATCATAAAATTCCTTAGTGCATGAATCCATCAAATTCTTGAAATAATCAAATTGACCCTTGAATTTACCATTAACCCTTAAACCACGTATCTTCTGTCTCCAACTTCAATTTTGACAGGGTAAACGTTATTAGTTACGAAAATGAAGTTTGCAACATTCTGAGCAGTTCTTCTGGGTTGATTCTTTTCATTAATTCTAATCTCATTATCCGTAATTAATTGATTTCAAAGCGTTGAAGTTTGCGAGTCTGTCTTCACCTACATTCTTGAGTTCATTAAGTACAAGAAAACATTTTATTCTCAACTACTGAGTTGAAATTACCCGTTAGCTCACTTATTTCAGTAATGTTTTTACATGATAACCAGCGAGAAGTTCAGATAATATCTGTAAATCTGTTTTACCTGTTCCCTGAAGTCCTTTCAAAATAATTGCTGTTTCATTCTTGATTCCAGGATGTTGAATCATTGATGCAATCCAGCCGAGAAGGTATTTATACACTTCGTCGTTATTATCACAAATGGCTTCTTTAATGAAATTCATAAACATCTCAATTTTTGAGTAATCAAGCTTTTCAAGAATGTTGTATTTATAACCTTGAAAACGTTGAGAAAACATCTGGAGAATCAGATTTAAAGCAAACACCCTTAACGTTAATGAAGACAATTGATTTAGTAGTACATCCCATGCTGTTATGGTTTTACCTTCTTCTTTAAATAATTTAATCATTTTGAGTGACTCTTTCATGTTTGATTGAAGAAACAAATGATATTTTGATTCATTTTGTCGTGGATGTTGTAATCTTTCTGAATGAAATATTTGTTTCCACAATCTACAAAACGGATGACACGTGATAAATCCTCAATTACTTCAGAACTGTTTTTATACTGATGATTTTCAGCCTTGCGTCTAATATCTGTTATCAAAAACGAGTCATCAAAGTTTGATATCAAATGTTATTTTTGGCTTACGTAATAAAGGTAAAACATATTCATCATAATATTCCTTTTGATAAAGTTTTTAGAATCTTCACTAAAACAAATGGAGAAGTCATTAAATGTGCATATCTACTACGTGCTTTTTCAAAATACTTTTTGCATTTTCTGTTAAACTGCAGAAGTTATAAACGTTATCGTATGCTTCATTAATCAAATGATTAGGTAACGAATTAATTGCTTGAAACAGTGTGAAATAATGTAACTTCTTTTTCTAAATTCATGTTTCCACCGTCATTATGTACTTCAAAATCACAGATGCCATCAAACTATGCTCTGGGCAAGTTTTATCGTCAATGTTTACATCTTTGTTTTCATTCATGATAGTCTTTATTTCTTCGTTCTTCTGTTCAACTCTTACCTTAATATTCAAATCATTTAATATATCATTCACTGTTCTGGTTATGATTGAGTCATAACTTCCACGAATGAATGAGTATGTATTGATTGGTTCTGTTGCATTCTTGCGAACTCTTGAATCAGCCATAACTACTAAAGAACGCTTTGAATCATCCATAGAAGTCATTATGTCAATATCATAATCATTGCAGGAATAACATTTAATCATTCTGTTCGAGGTTGAATAGAAGAAATTAGTGTTGCAATAAATGTGAAGACCTCCTGATGCGGTTTTAACGATAACATCTTTCTCCGAAAGTTTTGATAAAATGTCTTTTCTAACTGTTTCTTTAAGTTCATCATTGTACGATTTATTGATATCAACATCTATAATCGTTAAATTTGATATTTTATTTACTAATAAAGCTGTACCAGTTTTCCTTCCTCTTCCTCCATCATGTTTGATGTAGTTATGTAAATCAATCATGTTTTCACCAATTCTTTCATTGAGGGTTTTAGTTTCTGTCATAACTAATTCCGCAACTAATGAATCAATAACTTTTTCATCAGAAACGATAAAGTTGCTGTTGTTGTTTGTTGCTGTCATTTATATAGGAATAAAAAAATAAAAATAATTTTAAAACTAACTTTATTTTTGGACTGCATCGAATAACCCATGATGTTGTCAAAATGTCATGTTGTCACATTTTTTCAGAGAAGTTAAATGACCTGGTGACCTGGTGACCCCTTCAGTTCTTCAAAAATAATTAATTATTGAAGAACCTAAAAACATTAACGTAAACATATATTTTTGGTCGTTTATGATAAAAATAAATGGTTCATTTACTCACAATATTTTTGTACAAAACGACCCCAAACTTTTAATTTCTTTTCTGCAGCTTCTAATGCTATCTTAGCGAGTTCATATTCTCTAAATTCTCTCTTTAAATCTTCTTGTTCCCATTGGTCTAGTTCGTATGAAGAATCTCTATAACCATAACATATCTCACCTTCATGTTCTAATTGTTTTTCATGCATTTTTCTAACTTCTTGTTCGAACAAAGGTTTAGCATTTTTCACTGTATCTTCGAGTTCTTCTTCATCTAACTTCTCATGAACTTTCTTGTCTATGGAGTCCATAATTTTTCCAACTGCTATGCAATATTTTGGAGAAGCCCACATTGCTATATAGTTTATAAGTCTTGGGTCTACATACGTTCCTCTAACCTGTTTGATTTCATCAGGAATTCCTGCATGAATTTTGTATAAAAAGCAACCGCCGGAATTCAGACGGTTGCTATATTCTTCACAAAATGCCTTATAATACTCTTCCCAGGACTTATTTTCCAACAACTTTCTAAAGTCTTTCCTAAACTGCTGACACATATTTGTTGCATTAATGTAACCATCCTTGTCTCTACGTAAGACTTCAATACCATTATAAGTGCCTTTTGTGAATGTTTCGCCATTAGATTTGTTCGTGAATGTTTTTGCTTCGACTGACATTTCTGTTCTTACATACAAATAAAAAAATAAAAATAATTTTAAAACTAACTTTATTTTTGGACTGCATCGAATAACCCATGATGTTGTCAAAATGTCATGTTGTCACATTTTTTCAGAGAAGTTAAATGACCTGGTGACCTGGTGACCTGGTGACCCCTTCAGTTCTTCAAAAATAATTAATTATTGAATAACCCATGATGTTGTCAAAATGTCATGTTGTCACATTTTTTCAGAGAAGTTAAATGACCTGGTGACCTGGTGACCTGGTGACCCCTTCAGTTTTCAAAAATAATTAATTATTGAATAACCCATGATGTTGTCAAAATGTCATGTTGTCACATTTTTTCAGAGAAGTTAAATGACCTGGTGACCTGGTGACCTGGTGACCCCTTCAGTTCTTCAAAATAATTAATTTATTGAATAACCCATGATGTTGTCAAAATGTCATGTTGTCACATTTTTTCAGAGAAGTTAAATGACCTGGTGACCTGGTGACCTGGTGACCCCTTCAGTTCTTCAAAAATAATTAATTATTGAATAACCCATGATGTTGTCAAAATGTCATGTTGTCACATTTTTTCAGAGAAGTTAAATGACCTGGTGACCTGGTGACCTGGTGACCCCTTCAGTTCTTCAAAATAATTAATTATTGAATAACCTAAATCATTTACTCACAATATTTTTGTACAAAACGACCCCAAGCTTTTAACTTCTTTTCTGTAGTTCATCCATTACTTCATTACCTAATTAATTACAGACATAAAATATATTTAGTTCATTCGGTAAGCCTAAACCCTTTGGGTTAAGTGTGTTCATTGAACTCTATACCATGCGAATACAGTCATAAATGGTGGCATGTATTCTTTACTTTGTCCCGTTGTTTGTGTATATCCTGAAACGAAATGTGTATGATTTCCTTCTCCTTGTGTATCGTCCCAGTAACAATTTATGGCAAACTTAACGTCGTCTTTAACATCATATCCTTTACCTTTTGTCATTCCTGACCAATCCCAATATCTATGCTTATGCCAACCTGCTTGAGATGTGCTTAAATCTATGTAGTGACTATGTGCAGGTAAATTTTCACCTGAAATCGTTTTACTTCCCCCTGTTTCCTTTGAAGAGTTTGCACAATACAAAAACCTGTCAACTATTTGTTCCCATGCACCAACACCAAACATTACTTGAGGACCTCTTGCATCCATAGATGTATAAATAGAACCTACTGGGTTCATTAAATCAAACATATGAGATATTATAGGATTGTCTCTTTTGAACTTAAAATATAGTGTAACTATTTCAGGTTTCTTCTGGTTTGTGTCAGAATATTTTTTATAATATAATCTTATGTTTTCAGGGTAGGTAAAATCTTGACTAATATTTATTTCTGTCATCTGTATAATAATATACTATTCTCGTTTTTTCTATTGCATTATATCTTTTATATCTATAATAATCTAAATATAATGTTAACTTTTGTTCATCTACATGTGGTGTTCTGACATCATCTCCATAGTCATAATAATATGGTGCTGGAGCTGGGTCAGGCAATGTCATATCTGCCATTTCATAAACTCTTAAATATTTCTTTTGTTCGTCTCCATATAAGTTTAAGTAGCAGTTGTTGTCTAATGGAACTTTAACTTGTGTGTCATCATTCTTTTTATAACTTACATACATTTCATTGTTATTTTTCGGAATGAGTTTCCACCGTATACCATTTTTTAAGGAGTGTACAAACTCCCATCTAAAATATTTATTTTCTTCATTGACAGAAAAGTCGCCAACAATAGTTTCAATATTTTTTGTTCCTATCAAACTTTGGTATATTTCGTTAACACATCCCTTATCTGCTTTCTTCCCTAACTCATCATTAACATATTCCTTATCTGTCTTCTTATTTAACTCATCGTTAACATATGTTTTATCCGCTTTAAGGTCTAAACATCCTGAAACCCACCCTGTATCAGCTTTAGTTTTTAAAATCTTTGATGTCCATTCATGATACCATTCAACCATTTCTTTAATTTCATTATCTTTTTCATCCACATATTCCTTATCCGCTTTCTTCTCTAACGCAGCAGCAACATATTCCTTATCTGCCTTCTCCATTATGTCATTTAGGAAACCTTTTATGAATTCCTCATTTAAATTAAATCTTCCAATCTTCAAAACTTTAGGAAATGCATTTAATGCGTAATATCTTTGTTCTTCTGGTGGAATTGATGTTATATCATCCGTTATTCCTTTAATTTTTGAATTCATAAATAAAATTTCTTTTATATTTGATATCACTGCACCACCTTTGCAAACGAATTCGAAATGTTCATTTTTCAATACTATCTCCAAATCTCCATATTTCAACCTTTGCGTTTGTTCTGCCGTCTTTGAATTATATGCATATATGGCGTATGTAATGGTCTGAGGGACCTGGGTGCTTTGTGTCTTAAGTTGCTGTGGTTGCTGTTGTTTAATCATTTATTATGATTTAAAAATAAATATTTAATCTGTTATCTCATCACCTATTTTCTCTATTTGAAATTGCCATAATATTTCATTCATGAATTCTAAATCACAATCAAATAGGTCAGTTATTCTAAATTTAATATTTGATAAATCTTTTGAATGAAGAATAAATGAATTCCCGGATAATTGAAACGGATATGATAAAGAAAATGTGTTTAAGTTGATGGATAAAATGTTTTGTATTGATGGGTAAGAGTTAGGGTCTAATGTTTGATGTGAAAATCTCATTGGGGTATTAACTTTATCACAATTTGATTAAAATGAAATTGGAACCAGTGTCAGAATACAAAACATCCCCAACATCTTTTTCAAAATTTAATATCCCAACAATGAACGAAGATGAGGAGTACAAAATTTAATTTTCAGCGGGAATTTAATAAGGTTATTTATTTCATCAAGTTCAAAAAGTTTATCAGGTTTTGATTTAAAATTTTCTTCATACCATATGATAAATGATTCATTTAAATAACTTAAAATCATGTTAATATCCCATTTCGTTATCACAATTATTTATATACATATCATACGTTTTTTCATGGTCATCTTTAAATAAATGATATATAATCTGAAGGTCTAAAAGAATGGGATTAAATTTACCACTCACAGAAACGAGAGTAACATTATAAATTCCGCTAACTGTTAAATTTAATTCACAGTTATTATTCGAAATAATATTGATAATTGACATTTTTATTACGATTAAAAATATGGTAAAGCGTTATTTTCCAGTGATAAATAAAACTAGAATAAGATTACCTCAAGAATTCATAAATTCAACGAATAAGAAATTCATTCATGTTATAAATTTTAGTGTTTCAGAAAATATGAGTCAATGTCATATTCATCATCGGGTTATATTTCACTTCATTCAAATTTAGTTCAATCAAACCCATATAATGACCATTTCATAAGATTTTCAGATGTATTAAAAATGTAATTATAGATTAAAATATGAACAGATTGACAATATCGAATTTTTGGAATTTTGGTTTAAATATCCCGATGGAAAAAAGATTGAAGTTAAAGATAAAGCTGATACTATAACAAAAACAATTACAATGACCGATCCGGATAGTGGGGAACAAAAAGAAATAAAACAAACGATAGAAACTGTGAAAGGTCAATTATTATCGATTATGATTCAAAGGATTATTATTCAATAATGTTAATGCTTGAATATTAAATGGCCTTAACAAGAATTTTTCAAGTGATATTTTATATTCATCAACTATTTTATTATAAATATCATTATATGTTAAATGAAGTTCAGTTGTTGTTCCGTTCTTTGATATCTTAATTGTGCTAATATCCTTTATAGGATTTATTTTTGCAACTGTTCCGCAGCATGAAACCTCATCATCTATGAAAAATTGAATCTTAACGTCTGAATCTTGAACATCACAAAGAATGGCGATAATGTGAATTAATGATTCATAAGGTAAAATAATTAAACCGGATTGATCAATTAAATTTATTATTGAATCATAATTATCAGTTATTATATCACGGTAAATTTTCATTAATTCTGAATTAATGTCTATTTTATATGGCGCATTGCGACTGGAATCATAGATTCCTGGGTTCTCGATGTTTGATGAAAGAGGTGGGGGGTATGTTGGATAAGTGGGAATTTCAACAGGTTCTTTACCAGGTTCAGATAAAATGATTGGGTCTCCATCTTCTTTATTTTGCTCCTCCTCTTTCTTTGGTAAGTCACGAGTTAATAAATTTGGTTGAGGCTAACATTAACTTTAACATTTTGAATAATTCGTGATTTATCATCATTTACGTTATAACCAACCGTAATCTCTGCTTTTGCGTTTGTGTTCTTTTGACTTGTGAAACGTCTTCTCATTTATAATTGAATAAAAAAAAGAAAAATATATTAAAGTTTTATTTAGTTGTTACGGTAATATCCCAAGGTTCATCATTGTTTGCTTATACTTTCTTTGTAACTGCACCAATTATGTTATTGATATTGCTTTGAGTTTCTTCCAGTCTTATTTTATCATTTACAATATCTTTAATCATTTCATTACATGCATTCTTAAAACCATCTGATTTTTCTAATTTACGTCTATCACTTTCTTTAATTAAATCAAAGTTATAACCTTGTTGAGAATAAAGTGGTTTCTTTATCAATTCCTTGAACGCTTCTGAAAGTGAAGATGAAGAAATTCTTGCCACTTGAATTGGTTTAAATTCTGCTTTCATTGCTTCTTTCTGTTCATTGAACACTGGATCGAATAAAGCAACTTTAAAGAATTTCTTAGCTGGAATTTCAGGTCTCAAATTTGCATATTGACCATCAAACTGATTAACATATCGTGGTAATCCATCCGGTCCCTCTTCAATAGCATTTAATTCTTCATTGAAATAAGAATATGGATTATAACGGTATGAATTAATTGGACCATTTTCACCTTCTCCAATGTATTGTTTAACAGCTTTTCCATTTCATCAAATTGCATAGGATAAATTCATTATATGCTTTACGTTTAGGATAATCAGTATAGTTAATTTATAACCATTTATGACTTTAATATTACCTTGACCATCAGTAACGAAAACTTCATTTATACCATCAGGTTTTCCATTTGGACCTGTAATGTCTGCTTCATGTGCTTCCCAATTTGGTCCATGACGTTTGGCATATGCTTGAGCTTCTGGTAATGTTAAAACGTTTCTCATTTGTTTAACATCCTTTTGAAGACCAGCAACAATGTGGACTAATTCTTTCATTCCATCAGGAACTTTCATAGTTCTATTATATGCACCCTTTTTGTTTGTCCCTTGTTTTAATGGAACCTGTAGAAGATTTGCTATTTCTGTCATGTTTAATTATAAATAAAAAATAAAAATTAATTATAAAAAGTTAATCAAATTTAACACTCCTTTATTTAAATCAACTATTATTTTTCCATGTTCTCCTAATTGTTGATATTGTGTGTAAAGTTCATTAATGCTCATTGGTAAATTCACTTGATAAAGCATAACGTTCAACTGTTGACGACTAAACCCACTGAAAATGAAAAGGGTGACAGGTTTGATTTAATGTTTGTGCTTAATGCTTTGAAATATTGAACAGCCATAAAGAATGAACACTGAATGTGTCGACATTGAGTTAATAACTGATTAAAATATGATTTCTCATTAGTTATTAGTTTTGATTTCACGCATCATCTAGAAAAATGAGTGAATGCAAAAATTCTCTATCAAAATTTGAAATAGAAAGTGTTTCAAATAATTCATCCCGTTGTTTATCAATAATTTTATCCTCTAATCCTTGCTTCTTGATTGTATTATATAATTCTTTATACATTAAAAAGTTTTTTAAATAATCTTCTGCTTCTTCTTGTGATAAATAAATAATTGGAATTTTGATTAAATGCTTTAAAGATTCAAATGTATCATCTGAAGGTGAACCTGAACGGTTGATATAAATTAACACATGTGAATGGGGGAAGTGTTAGCAATAATGATAATTTGTTTTAATATCGTTAATGTTTTACCTTTATTTGTTTACCAATTGCTGCAGTGATTGAATTTAAGTAACATTCAGAATATGGAATTTTCATTAATTTTTCCTTAGATAGAGCATTTCTATTATCACTCAATGCTTCATTAATCATATCATCTACGTATGTATTATATACATCTGTTAATTCTTCAGAATTGAAATCCATTTAATCAAAAATAAATTTATAATTTTAAACATTTCTATTCATCAATATTTCATCATATGAACTTCTATACTGTGGTGGTGTACCTGTTGGATGATATTTCAAACCTTCATCCGGTGTCCATGTCCAATACGTAGTCCTAGTAAACCAAACCTGAGGAGGATTTGTCACCTTTGAACAGTAAGTGTCATTTTCACCCTGAATGATTGGATAAGCTTTCACTTGTACTGTAACTTGTGAGTTGAAAGTTTCTAATCCATCAAAGAATATACCCGCTCCATCACGTTGAACTGGAATAGTGCATAAGAATGAAGTTTGGTCTTTCCATGTTCTAGCTAATGGCGTGCCATTATCATCATTCAGTGGTCTAGTTAATGAGTCCTCGTATTCTTCCGTGCATTCATTCACTCCATCTAAATCAGAAGCTTGAAGCATACGTGTAAAGAATATGTCACCCACTGTGGTCATCGCTTGATCGGGGAAGTTTCTGGAATCTATAGTGACCTGAAGACCTCGAAGCATTGGATTTTCTAAAACTGTTCTTTGCATTGCATTCTTCGGAAATGTTAACACAACATCTGTAACATTATGAAGAGCGTATGAGAAATCTGAGCTAATACCTTCAGGAGTGATGCAACCTCCATTTAGTGAACGAACGTCAATATGTTGAGCTGGAATCATGAATGGATCTTCCTTACTGAATAAACGTGGTATTGCTTTAACTGATTCTTCAATTAAACCGTATCCTGGTGTAATGCATTTATCCTCTAAAACTTCCATCTTTGTGCATGAAATAATAACGTCATCAACTGTTGCGTCAGCAGATGTAGCGGCTAAGCTTGTAATTAATTTGGCAGGAAGTCCGATTTGTTGGAATTTGCGATCATATTTATAAACATGATTCATAATCTTTTCATAATTTTCATCAGTTATCTTTTCATAAACGTAATTTTGTAAATCAGCAACTCTTAACGGGTCAACCTGACAAAATACTAAAGTATCCCTGAAAACATAATATTTAAGAATGATTTCACCAAATGATTTAGGATAATCATCGAACGCCTGAAATGCTAACAAATCATTTACCGGAATAATCATATCAAAAGTGATATCAACTTCTTCATTTGCTTTCTTGAAAACTTCTGAAGGGTCAATATATTTACCACATACTGAGTTATCATATTTTTGAACATTATTATATAACGAATGAACAAACTTTTTAACTTTCCTTTCTGATTTTGGTTTATATGTTGCAAATGCGAAAGATTCACGGGCGCAATCCATCTGAAGATAACCGGCATCACCTCTTTCGGTTTCTACTTCTAATTGTTTAAAGCTTTGATTTGATGATTTGTAACCAACGAATAAACGCATGCATTTAAAAGCGGCATCACATGTGAAAGCTTTATTTGAAACTAGAGTTGCTTTAACTTTGCGTTTAATATATGTGTCACCTAATTGGTTCACATCATGAGCGGATTTGTAATTCTTAAATGAGTTTGTTTATCATCAAAATATGGAGCATCAGAGTCATAGCATGAACTTTCAAGTTCTCTATAATATCTTCTACCATCATTCTTTGCGAATATTTCATTTATCTTTTCGAATGAATGAAACACATTTCCATTAATCGGTTTAGTGTTTGGCACCAAATAGTTAGTCGTCATTTATTATTAAATAAAAAATCAAAATTAAAAGATGAAAATGAATTTTTAATTTTAATGAAATAATCAACTATGGCTGCAGGTATATTTAAGAAACTGTGGGATAAAGTAAAAAGAGGAGCGCATAAAGTTTGGGAAACAATGAAGAAAGGAGCAAATTGGATATTTAAGAATAAAGAAGCAATTAGTGACGTTGCTGAATCAATAACACCAAAAGCTGCCCCAATAAGAGAAATATTAAATAAAGGAGAAAAAGTTTATCAAAGACTACAACCGATACTAAGATAAAAATAATATTTATTTATTTTTCCACTATTTACCTCCTATTTTATTAAGTATTCCTTCAGCAATTCCACCAATTGCGTTACCTGCTTGTGCTCCCATCGCCGGATTACCTGCTTTTGTACCTAATACTCCACCTATGATAGTTCCTGCCGTTTTCGCTACTGGTGCCAAAAAGTTTGCAACAGGTTTAATAACCTTTTTATAAACCCAACCCGCAGCTTTCTTAATTCCATCCCATAATTTTTTAAAGAATCCTGCCGCCATTTCTGATTTAATATTAATTAAAAAATATATTTCATCACTTATATTCTAATTTTTATTTAATGATAAATGAAATCGATTTTAAAAATAAATGAAACAGAGGAGGAAGAAATCAATGAAAGTGGAAATGTTCAACAAAAAATAAACGTTGTTAAACCAATTACTGAAACAAAAATTTTTTCATCTGTTGAAGAATTTAATGACTATTATGCTAATAATAAAAAATTATTTGAAGAATTGACAACATGTAAATTGAATAAAATGTTTAAAGTTGATGGATTCAAAATTTCAAAAATAAAAGGAGTGGTTAGTTTGAAATCTATTCCTCAATCAAGAATCACCTCATTAATGAAAATAGATGATTTAACAAAAAGAATAGAAGAGATTGAAGAAAGAATGAATCAAATAATTGATTTCATAAATTCAAATAATCATTAGTTTCTAATTTATTTTTCTCATTTATGAGGTCTTTGATTATGACTCCATTGATTCCATTCAGTTCTTCAAAAATAATTAATTAATCGCGGAATATCTGACATCATCTATATATAGCTTCTTTTATTTCGTTTAGTATGGGCTGAGTGTAAATGTCTTACAATTTTGTATCATTTTTAAATCTTGATTTATTCAAAAACGTAAGAATAAAAACCGTAAGAATCATACATTTTTTACTTCATATGTTAAAAAAAATGATACAAAATCGTTCAATATTGTATGAATTCTTACGTTTACAAAAAAAGTCACACAACCCTTCCACATATACTACTTGGAAACGAAATCGAACTCGGTTTTGGTTACTACTGCAATCACTTCTGATTACATTCTAACTGAAGCACGCAATGCTTTATATACAGATAATCCCTCTTAAAAATTGTTCATTTCAAAAATATTAATTGAATCTTAAAAAAAACTTTAAAACACAAATAATATTACATAGATAGTATATAACATAAATAAATTTCAATATATAATAGAAATTATGGTAAATATTTCATAAATTAAAATCGTCCAAACGATTTTTGTTCCTCCTGTGCCATTATGGTTATATTTGCTATATTGTAAGCATAGCTGTAGTCATTGAAAGCATCAGCAGGGAATTTTAAGTTTTCAAATGCATATAGCATGTATGATACTGCTGTAACTACTGGCTTGATGTTGTAATCCTCATCTGTAATTCTTCCATGATAAAACAAACTTGTAATATAAATCATCCAAATATCAAGAGAATATCCTAGATTAGTATCAGGATAGTCTATTATTTCTGAACCACATATTACAATTCCAGTGTTTTTATGCATGAATATTGAATTAAATACCATTGAACCCCCACATGTAACTAATAACTTTATTTCTGCAAGTGCTTTAGATATAGAATAGATTGAATTTGGTGTGCTGTCATCTAAACGTTGGAAATCATATTGCGGATATGTTTTTTGAATTAAAGATGTCAATTCTTCAATATTATTGATCCTTCCCCATAGACCATCTTTTTTATTAAGTATTCGGTACTTTGTAGAAGCAATATCTGAAAGGTTTAAATATTTAAAAAATCTTTTTTGAAGATTAGGAAGCCCTTCGACGTTAAGTGAATTTGTCACCTCTTTTGATCTAAGAAAGTAAGCTTCTGATACATAATGCCAGTCATTTGTTAATTGAAAAACTTCAGAATAGGGAATTCCAAGGCATTTTAAATATACTTTTGCTGTGGTTACATTAAAATTAACAAAAATAACAGAATCAATAAAATATGAAGGTGGAACCAAAATTAATGAGCATAACATATCATTAATAAAATGTCCATATTGGAAAGAGCTGGATGTACCAATTATGGCTTTTCTATATCCAATCATACTGCTTGCTGTGTATTTTTTGTGGTTATATTTTTATGGGGAAAGAAAAGTTTTTCATCTTGAAATATTCCTCTTCTTGAAACATAAATGCTATTCAGATGAAAGAATATTCTATATTCCCTTACTAAGCTTAACCAATGACAAACTACGTGTCCTCGTGCCTTTAAATGCACTAATTGCTTTGTGCAATTTGGGGAATTGTGGCGGAATGTTATGTTAGTTGTATTTGTGACAAGAACTGGATTGATTTCTTCAGATGCAAGAAGTGCACGAGGAAAAATATCAATTCTCTCAATATCTGGCATTTTGTGAGGAGCGCTTATACAAAAGCACTGAGTAATAAACAGTATAACCAAAAATAAGATGTTTATCTTATCAATTTTTGCTGCATTTTGTGAGGTAGATTCTTCTGTTTCACTCAATACTCAAAATAAATTTGACACATTTGGTTTTTGAGCATCACACTAAATATAATTCATATTTAAAAAGTTCAATTTAAATAATTCCTCTTTTTATGAATATCGGAGATTTTGAAATAGAACAAATTGTTATTTCTATTGAAATATATTAATATTAAATAATTTTATTATAAAAAGCAATAAAATTTTATAGAATATGTTTAATTTCAGACATCAATTGATTTGTCTAAAGTTTCATCAGATTTCTGATTCTCAGACTTATTTCGCTTGAGAACTAACAATACTACAACAACTGCAATAATTGCAATCACAATTAAGCAAATTGGAACTGTGATTGCGACAATTTTCTTTGTATTACCTTTATTAGTCGAATCAACAGTATAAGGAGCTGTAGTTGTTTCAGATGAATTAACAAGAGAATTAGATATTTCAGAACTATTACTTGGTTTATCATCATCATCATCACCATCTTCTTCTTTTTCTTCTTCTTCTTCTTTTTCTACAATAGATGTATCAGTATATTCAATGATAGCGGCTCTTAAATCTTGTGTAGAAGACATTGTAACTGTGTCTCCATCAACAGAACAAGTTACATCATTTGCTTTGAAGAAAAGCCTTGGATTTCCTGTAATTTTAACTTTATATTCTTTATTAGCATCTGATATCAAAAATGATGCATAGCATTTACCTGATGATTTGCACCATGCTGACCATTTATCATCGAAATCATCTGTTTTGATTTTTCCATTTCCATTTGCATAAAATGTTGCATTTGACAAAACTTCTGAGAAAACAGGAACTCACCTATCATAAACAGGTTTCATTGTTTGTTTGTCATTAGCATCTGTCCAAAATCTTAGAGTATCAACATATCTAAAATAAGAAGGAATAACACCAAGTGATGCACAAAAACTGAAATATTGTTCAGAAGCAGAATAATTCAATGAATTATCTAAATGAGAAATCGATCGAGATCCCAATGAAAATATATTGAACCAGTTTTTCTTTGTGAATTTATCATTCGCAAAATCATTCGTGAACGTGTAAAGTTCATATCCACTTGATGTAACGAACTTCGTAACTTGTGGATAAGTAAATTGAGCGTTCGTCATGAATCCGCTTGGAGCATACTCAGAAAGTTTATTAAACATATTAAATATTGCGGCTGCCATGTTTTCAAACTCAACATCATTGTTTTTATCATCCAATATCCTGTAAGGACATAAATCTAATGGACAGACAAATCTATAATTAGCTCTAAAGTTTGTCATCGAATCTAAACCAATTCCATCATATCTAAATTGTTTTTTATGTGAAATCAAATCATCAATAACAGGCTGAACCATATCTCCTACCCATAAATGGACAGCTCTTGATCCAATTTTGTTATAATTTGGTATACAATAATAATTTCCATCAATATCTTTGACACCATATCTTCTTATATAATCACAACTTTGTGTAGTACATTTTTCAATGTTTTCTTTATAATTTTCATCGCAATCGATTTCTCTAACATGAATAAATGTTAATTCATAGTATTTGAATCTTAGTAAGTCATAATACATGTCATCTGACTTGAAAATTGTTCCCCAGAAATATTTACCCATAAATGATTCAACTGGATCGAAATCATTCTGTGCTCTATTGAGATAGAATGGAATCCATGCTCCTGGACCATATCTATTGACGTTGTATATATCAGGAAATGTGAAATGCCACTTTTCCATTGAATCTCTGTAATTCTCTGAATTTTTCACAACAATTATATAGGAAAGAGTGAACTTTGTGAGTGGATGCATGCATATTTCTAAATATGATCCTGTATAATCTTGTCTTTGATGCCATTGATGAAGAAAATCATATGAATAAATATCATATCCGATCATCATTGTTGCGTTTGATATCATTGGAATTAACATTACGTCTGTTTTGCCTAATGGTAAATCCCAGTTGAATTTATCAAAAGTTTTTGGCGGATCAAAGGGATTCAATAAAGTTAATGTGTTTATGTACAGTTTGTCTTCAGGAGATATCTCTACTGTTGCTTTGTAAACATTGTCTTTAAGTTTCGTCAATGTTGGTTGGCCATATGTGTTTAATGCAATGTTCTTTGCAAAAAATGATACAGTTGGTACACCAAATTCTGCTGTATTATCTCCAGAATAGAATGTTATACTCAATTTATCACCATTTTGTATCGTTCCAACGCTATTTTGAACGTTTTGATTTGGATACACTCTAGAACGGGTATATATAGTGTTATCTCTGCTTAATCTTATATAACAGAACTGTTCTGCATTGTTTGTTGTTGATGGACACGTATATTTCACTGAATCAAAGATATAATTTTCAGGAAGACCTTGAATTGTAAGCGTTGCTAAGGAAGAATTGCTAGCTGTTGTTCCAGTGGGACAAGTTATCATAGCTTTGTCTGAATCAATTTGACATAATTTTGGTGTAAAATCTTGAAGAGATAAACTAATACTGTTTTCAATAACTCTTGATTTGAACATATCCTTTGCGTCTAGAGATTCGCTGCATATGACTCAAAAGAGGATCATTAATGTTGTAAAGGAAATTCAAAATTTTGCAAAATCCGAATTTGAGCTTCGCCAAAAATTTTGTAGCGTATGATTATTTTTTCTTCAAAAAATTTGAATGATCTCTGAAAAAGTAGAACCAAAAACAATGGAATCCATCAACAAACATCCCAAACCTGTTTAGAAATGCCAAGTATCTTACCCCCAAAGAATTCCTTTCATTAATGTCAAGCATTATGAAGAAAGAAAACTCCCAATTAAACAATTTGAAATTCAAGATTTTAAAATTAACATGGGAAAACTCATCCTCATGCTACGCGAAGAGAAGATACCAATCGGGCCAATCTAATTTCTGTACAGGACTTTTCCATCACCGATGGAAATCTCAAAATGTTCAAAAGTATAGAAATTTAGTTGCACATGAAATACTAATATTTGTTTTAACTAAAATCTAGAATAAAAATCATTTTTATCGAATTCAAATTTTTTGAATAAAAAAAAAAAAGGTAGTGGGGCTTCCAGGCACTTCGTGCCCTCTAGCCCCGAAGATGTTTAGTATAAATGAAGTTTTTATTCGGAAAATTGTTAGTCTTCTGGTGTGAATTCGGAGGACTCTTCTTCTTCCTCCATTGCTTCTGGGAAGAAGCCTTCTTCTGGGTCGAAAACATTATATAATGTTTCACTTTTCACAAATTATATATGTTTTCATGTTTTGTCACTTTTCTGTCACTTTTCAGGAAAAACATTTTTATTATTATATATAAATGAATTTTACAAAACCACCGTTACCGTTCTTTGGAAATAAGAGTAAATGTAAAGATATTATATTGAGAGAACTTAAGAAACTACCGAATGGTCTAACATTTGTAGATTTGTTCGGTGGAAGTTTCTATATATCCCATTTGTGCCATACAATATTCCCAGACTCAAAGATTATATGCAATGACTTCGACAACTATATGGACCGTCTCAAACATATTCCAGACACAAACAATATATTGAAAGAGTTAAAAGAAAAGATACCTATAGGTAAGATGGAACGTATACCATTAGATAACAAAAATATTGTGAGAGAGGTTTTGAAAAAAGCAGAATATATAGACTGGGATAGTATATCTGCTAGACTATTATATAGTGGTTCTATAAGAGTTCATGACATTGAAACACTTATGTCAAAAGTTTTATATCTTAACTATACAAATGTTTTCAAAGAGGACATAGAAAAATATATTGAGGGTATAGAGTTTGTGAGATGTTATTGGACAGAGTTGTATGAAAAATATAAAGACAAGGAAAATGTTTTCTTTATAGTGGACCCGCCGTTCTATAACACATGGGATTTTCAATACCAAGTAGACTGGACTTTGAGAGACTCTTTAGAAACTTTAGACGTTTTACATAACCATCCATGCTTTTACTTTACATCCGATAAAAGTGGTTTGGAAACCGTTATGAGATGGTTAGAGGACATACATGACTATGAGTTTAGATATGACAAGATAGAATATGAGAGAGGTCCTATAAACCGGAGAAAGTGTCATAACAAAGAAATTTTATTAGTAAGTAAATGTGGTTTGAAATAGGACTACTTGTTTTAGGTTTTTTCCATTGTGTCATTTATTTCTTTGACGTGGCAGAAAAGTACAGAGAATATGAAGATGAACCAATGCCTGCAAATGTTCAGTATATGTACTCGTAAGAGATATTTTTATCTAATATTAAATGGACGCACAGAACTTAGCGAATGCACAGCAACCTGGACAACCAAACCCAGAGAATATTCCAAATGAAGTTAGAATACAAACTGCAATGGCAAACTATGGTCAAGTGCCAACAGATGTACAAATGCAAACTGCCATGTCAAATGACGCTGCGTTAGGTTTGCCACCATGGTATGCAAATATGAGATGGAAAGAGTTTTATACAAACCCTGAAGTGGGATATAAACAACTTTATGCAGATGACGCGAACACAGGAGTTGACCCAGAATATGTTTTCTACCAGAGGAGAAACAGAATGTATGAGCTCCAGTTAAAGAATGCTATGGAACTCAACAGGAAACGTAAGAGACTAGGCGGACATTAGATTTTTACATATAGTAAAATGGGTTTCTTCAGTAAGATAGGAAACTTCTTTCGAAATGTTGGAAGAGGTATATGGAATGGAATAAAAACCGTAGGAAGAGGAATTTGGAACGGAGTCAAAAATATTGGTAAAAGAGTAGGTCAGTTTGTTGGTATTATACCTAAAGACCCTGAACCAGAAGAGCAAGCTCCTGTTATACAACAGCCTGAACCTGCACCACAGTCTAGTTGGCAACCAAATCCAACACCTCAACCGTATTAAAAAATTATATTTTTACCGTTCGATAGTAGTTGTATATGAAACTAAGTTCTAAGTAAAACGCATGGTATAATGGAATTATTCTTTTTCTTCCATCTGTAGTAAACCATACTTGAAAGTCTGAAATACTTCCACTTGGTGGTTCGTATAACTTTGTAGGTTTTTCGTAAAAGTCATTTGCCAAGCATAAGAAAGAGTTTTGGGCGCCAGAAAATGAAGCATGAACAATAATAGCAGCTGGGTCGAAAACATTTTCATATGTTCCATTAGGGTTTTCGACTTCATAAAAGTCTGGGTGTACTGGATATGCTGCAGGCTGATTTAACATCCTCATAAATCTATACCATGCCAAGTTGTTATATTTTGTAGAAAGATAAACGTTTTCTCCAAGGTCTTCTATTCTATTGATTTTAACAGTTGCATTTTTCCTGTCATAAATAATATCGAGATGGTATTCTCCTTCGTCAATGTTATACTGGTTTGCATATTCGATATAGATATCGTTTATTTTTTCTTGAAAAGCTTGAAGAGTTGTTTCTAAGTTTACAAGCAAACTAACTTGTAAAAGTTTTCCCTGTTCAAATTTCTCATACATACGTTTTTCTTTGTTATAGTATCGAACTTCAAAACCGACCGTAAATGGGAAACCATGTATGGCTTCTGAAATGAACTTCATTCTACGAAAGCCAATAGCTTTTGTGACAGATGGGTCTCTTAGCCATCTTAATGGGTAGTCAAAACGATAGCCTTCATGCTTTACGGTCTCTGTCTCAAACTTTTGACCGACATTAGTAAAAAGTTCATCTAATGGTTTAGTTGTAGCAACTCTTGAATTTTCTTTTTCTATTGGAAGCATATTTTATCTAGAATAAAAATGTCGAAAGATATTGCTTCCATGAGAGAAATACAACACAACCGACAACTCATTATGCAAGCTCTAAATAAGAACACAACAAACTTTTCAAACTATTCTAAGATATCTGAGTCATTGAAAGAAGGAAACTTAAAACTGACATTAAACCCAATGACAGATGAGTTTCTATTTCAAGACAAGAAGAACAATACTGTCTGTATAAATCCAACAAAAGGAACTTTAAACGAGAAACCTATAAATGAACTTCTTTTGAAAGCAGATGTTGACAACAAAGCTGACAAAGAATATGTAGACGATGCAATAGCAAAAGAAGAAGAAAGAGCTAACAATGCTTATGCAACAAAAGAACATACTCATCCTGAACTAGCAGACAAAACATATGTTGACAATAAAATGTCAAGTGAAGTGACAAGAGCTGAAAACGAATATTCTAAAAAGACTCATACACATTCTATATCTGAAATAACAGACTTACAAGAAACCTTAAACAGTAAAAGTGCCGTTGGACATACACATACCATTGCAAATATTACAAACTTACAAGAAACCTTAAACAGGAAAAGTGCCGTTGGACATACACATTCTATATCTGAAATAACAGACTTAAACGTTAGCCTTGAAAAGAAAGCGGATGAGGAATATGTGGCTAGTAAGTTAGAGAAGAAAGCGGATAAGGAATATGTGGATGAAAAAGATAATGAAATTATAGAAAGGGCTGAATGGTATCATGAATGGACATCGAAGATTTTAAAAACTAAAGCTGATACAGGATGGGTTTCAGGATGTTTAGACCTTAAAGCAGATAAAACTTATGTTAACGATGAGTTAGAGAAGAAAGCAAATAAGACTCATACACATACAAGTTTTACAACTGTTGCTATAGAAAGTATTGAAGGAACGGTTGAAGAAACTGGTGGGGATGCATTATATTGTAAACCTCCTAACTTTCCACAAGGTTTAACATCGGATGACGACATAACGACGATGAGAAACATTAGATGTAAAGATGTTTATGTCATGAAGGATGAACATAATATTAAATTCACTGCTCAAGATTTATATGACAAGAAAGCAGACAAAACAGAGCTTCAAACATTAAAGACAGAAATGCTTCAAACATTATATCCTATAGGCTCTATTTATACGTCAATGAACTCTACCAGACCAGAAACAGTTCTGGGTTTTGGAACTTGGACTCAAATAGTCGACAGGTTTTTGTATTGTGCAAACTCTTCAAAGGAAACAGGTGGAAGTAAAACGATTTCAGGTGAAAATTTACCTGCACACAGTCACTACATAGATTTAAGTACATCTCAAGCAGGTTGGCATAAGCATAGATATTGGGATTGGTCAGCAATGACAAAAGGTAAAGGATATGATGTTAAAGACAACGTTAAGTTTGCTATAAATTGTTACTGGAGTAACACTGAGGGAGGAGGAAACCATACACATCACGTTTCAGGATATACGCAAACAACGGGACAAAGTAAAGACTACATGCCACCTTACATGACAGTTTACGCATGGTATAGAAATGCTTAGTCGTCATTTTCAACTTCTTTAGCATATTCGTCAGGAGTTGTCTTATATTTGTTAGGAACTGTCTTTGAAAGTATACCACCTTGAACTTTGACAAGTTTGAAACGAGGTCTGACAATAGTCGTTTTATCTTCTGCTTGCAGTGTGTACATTTTGCCATGTTTGCCTAAAACTTCATAATATTCTCTTGTATACTTTCTTCTATTTTTACGAACACGAATGTGAGTACCTGTCGGGTTCCCATTGTTGTCATAGTCAATAGTATTTTCATATGGGTCGCGTTTAGGTATTTCTATTTTTACTTTGTCACCTTTCTGAAGTTTGAAGCCCGGCATTCTTTCTTGTTTGTCTCTTTTGACTAAATTATTAAATATATAGTCTTTCTCTAAGTCAGGGTTGTTTTTCATTTCTTCGGGGGAGTGGTTTCCCAAACCTTTTTGTTTACGGCTATTGTAAATATTTAAAACTTGTCTCATTTTTGCCTGGGAGAAGTGTCTATATTTGTCGTCATATGACATTTCATTTGCTTCACCACCTTGTGGTTGGTTTAAGTCTCTTAACATTTTTATACAACCGTCAATGACACCAAGAGCAGAATGGTTTTGGTCGACAATGAAATATTGGTTTACATTTTTTGAACGCAGATAGTTTTTTACATCATCTGATTTGAAAGAACTTTCACAGTCAGATGTCAGTTTTGTTGGATGGTATTTGTCAACGAATATTGTCAAAGCTGCTAAGATATCTAAAATAGCTTTGGACCATAATGGTATGGCTTCACAGTATCTTGTGTTTTGACCGACAAATATTAGCCAGTATGGTGGTCCATCTGTTCTAACTCTCGGAATGTTTTCCAAGATATCCATAAACCAAGCATTTGGTGTTGAACTAAAGATTTTTACCATGAGTGCTTTCTTTGTCGCTTTAGAAACATAGGGGTCCTTGTTTGGATTCGTCATTTTTTATCCTATAAGAAATGGGTTTATTTGGCGCATTAGCAGGAGTTGCATCCAGATTTTTGCCCGCAGTGGGAACAATAGCCAGAGGTGTATTTGGAGTTGGAAGGAAGATTTTGAGTACATTAGGTATACTTAAAGAGAAAGCACAACCTATTATACAAACTGTACAGAAAGGTTGGGATGTAGCACGAGATGCAACAAATCTTATTCCAAATCCTGAAACAAGAGGAAAAGTTCAAGGATGGATGGACAATGTAGGAAGACAAGCAGGAAACTATTATAACAAAGCAAATGACTACTATAACCAAGCAGGACACTATATGGACCAAGGTGAAAGATTCTTTAACAGAGGATATAACCATGCACAACAGTGGGTAAACAATAACCAACCTCAACCGCCTCAAACGTGGGGAATGTAAAGTTTTTTACTGAGATGAAATGAACAATACAGCATTGAGACAAATAAGTTCAAGATGGATTTGTCGGCTTCCAGCAGTTACACCACGTGTTTGTCAAGTTCTTCCGATACCTCAGGAAGTTTTAGACCGACTTAAAAAACCTAAACAACCAGTTGAAAACAAACCAAACTAAAATTTTTTACTGAGATGAAATGACCGAAGAAGTTGAAACGGTAGATTTGACACCACAAACAAAAAGTTCAGAACCATTGTCAAAACCTGTCAAAGAACTTACAGATGAAGAGAAAAATTCAATAATAGAAAGTGCCAGGTCTGGAAATACAAACCCTAACTACAAAGTCACTTTTCATAAAAATGGAACGGCAAGTATCTCAAAAAAGAAACAGACTCTCACAAATAAAATATTGAAGTCTGAAGGAGCTTTCGAGACAACAGATGGAAAAGTTTACTTCACTGACCAACAGTTCATTATAGAACATCTCATTGACTTAGAGTCGAAATATTCTAAACTTTACAACAAACACAAAAAGTTGAAAGGAAAACAAAAACAAATGGCATATGATATTTATGAAGATGTTGACGACACAACTGTTCCTGCAAGTGAAGTAAAGTCAGAGAAACCGAAAAGTGACGAAAAACCGATAGAAGAAGAAAAACCAAAAACTGAAGATAAACCAAAACCAAAGTTTAGTTTGGAAACTAAACCAAGTCAACCTTCATTAGCTGGTATGGGTTGGCGTCAAAGACTTATGGCAGCAGGCGGTTATGTAAAGTAAAGAAAAAAATATTTTTTTATTTTTATAAAAATGCCCCCATATAGAATGGATAGAAAATCTGCTAGAATAAAAGCAGAGTTGCAAAGATATGGTTGGAGAGTTTCGAAGAATTTTAAATATAAGAAAGGAAGACCCATAAAAGTCTATGACAAATTGTCTGGTCTTCGCTACGAAATGGATTTGGAAACAGCACGTGCAAATTATCCAAACAGACTAGAGAGGTTAGAAGAAGAACGTCTTATGGACATGCCTTTCGATGTTAGTGAACATTGCATGAAGTAAAAATTTATTTTTTAAAAAGTGACATTTTTTAAATTTTATTTGAAATGTACGCTGAGTTTGTTGGAGAAGACCGTTGGGAAACTTGTTTGTTAGATGAGAAATATGAAATGGCATACCATTTTAAAACAATATATTTTTACATATATTAAATGCTTCAGGTTGAAAAACAAAGAACAAAAGTAGCAGATACAAAACCGTTAGACTATATCTTTACAAATGCTGGTAGGACTATTTCAGATGAAGAAATTTCATCCCGAGTATACAGGTTTGACTATCCAATTCGTTGGCTTCAAAGTCCTTCAGATGCAAAGGCAATAGGATTTAGAAGAGTTTTGTTTTCAAATAGAACTAACGCATTTATGTTCGCAGTATATTTTCATGGGCAGTATAAAGGTTCTGATGGTCTAATAGACAAATTTGCCGAAATGAGAATCTTTACAGTTCGTTCAGACGAAAGTCTTGAGAAAACTCTAAATGACTTTCAAACTCAAATGAACAAATATTATTGGGAATTTCAAGAAAAATACGACTCTTTACTAAATGGAACATACTATCTGAAACTAGAATATGACAAGATGAACTCCACCGTTTCATTTCAAAAGATTGAAATTAACCCTCCAAGAGATACAGAGTTTTTATTTTGGAAAGTAGACAAACGTTCTTGGGCACAATTTCTTCGGTTACTAAACCAGAACGAACCATTACCACCAGATGGTCCATTTCAATTTATACTTCCACCAGCAGATTTGACAGTTTATAGAAACGTGTTTGACCCTCAAAATGTTATGTGTCATGCAAGTTTCAGTTCAAGCAACAATAGTTTTCTATGTATTGGTAAGGACTTTTATGACTTTGCTTCTAAATTCTACGAACCACCTAGTAACAGTTTCTCTGACTTTCAAGTTTGGTTCACAACAAATGGTGTGCAACATATTATTCCATTGTACTATGACTTTTATCTCGAATTGTCTTTCATATATAACTACGGAAAAGTGCTGAAAAAGTAT